AAAACATATTTAAAAGCCTGAATACTAGTATACTCAGCTACCAACTTCACCTCTCCAAAATATTGAATTGACCTTTGTTTCTTTCCACCTTATCACATTGAGAATTTTCCCAGTCGTAAGACACTTCAGCCTCTTTTCAAGCATGGAGAGCTACTGAGCTCATTGTCAGAAATATTAAACATTAACTAGGTATTTTTAATTACAAAAATGTGAGTCAAGCACTGAAAGGGTTAAATGAATGCAATGATGCAGCAAAAGCTGCAGTTTATTAAAAAAATCATTTCATGTACATGCGGCCCGCCCTTTGTTTGTCTGCCATTATGCTTAGTTCCTATGTTTTGTGTATATTGTTTTATATGCTTTGATGTTTTATATTTTACTGATATGTTGTTTATTTGATTGTTATTTGTATTGTTATATTGTAATTTTTGTTGGGCTTGGCCCCATGTAAGCCACTCCGAGTCCCCTTTGGGAGATAGTGGCGGGGTACAAATTATTATTATTATTATTATTATTATTATTATTATTATTATTATTATTATTCTATATAAGCAGCTGTGCCTGTAGCTTAGTAGGCCTCTGTGTTAGTTTGCCTCAGTGGGAGAAAGTCTGTGAGAAGGCCTCACAGCGTGAGGTAGACCTTAGTCGGTGAGAGAAGCCTCTGTGTGAGATAGGCCTTAGTCTGTGAGGTAAGCCTCGGTATGAGAAGGCCTTGTGTGTGAAGCGCCAGTGTGAAGGTTGAACTTTATTTGTGTTATGGAAACCTTGTTCTTGTAAATAGTGAAACCATATTATTTTGCTATAAAGAAAAGCCTGCTATGGAAGAGCTAATATTGGTCTGTGTGTTTTGGTTCTTTTTATCACTTTGGGCTACTGGTGCTGAGTCATGCTGCTGCTAATAAGTTACTCTGCTGTGCATTTCTGAGGAGGGTCTTTGTTAATAAACTTACCCATCAGCCATCACATCAGTTAAACTACTTCTGGCTGTCATGTATAGCCCTCTCTGGTTGAAAAGAGGCAGAAGTGTCCTGAAAGGAGGGAACTCCAGCAATTGACTTTATCGCATTGAGAAATTTCCCTATCGTAGGACACTTCAGCCTCTTTTCAAGCATAGAGAGACATAGAGCTCATCACATGTTCCAGGATTGAAAAGAGGTTTCATTGCGAAACCATCAGCAGTATGTTGTATCCTATGGGCTTTGATGCAGAGCAATAGGATGCCATGGCTTTTACCCAGATCACTGCCTCTTGTACCCTATGGAGTTTGGGGCAGAACTATAGGATCCCATGGAAAGAACTGGGTTCAAATTGGTGTCAGTCACCTTTAATGTAAGGGGCTTTTCGCAGTGCAAGAGATCTTTTGGATTTTGGATACTGTTTCTTCTCCTGATTTTTTTAAAAAGTAATAATGACCTTGTGATGAATGTAAGATGAATGTATTACCAGCTCTTAAGTTTCCACATGTGAGTCTGAGGGGGAGGCAGAACCGGGGGATTCTCTCCCTTCAAGGGATGGTTACCCAAGCTCACCCATGCTTTCCCCTTTTAATCTGATGAGGTAGTTTGACACATTTGACAGGCACATTTCTGTGTTTGAAGATCTCTTCCTCTCAAACCTTACTTTGTTTCCTTTCCCCTTGGATTTTCAAATCTGTCTGTTCAATCCCTGCTGCCCTTTAAACAAAAGTAGCTAAAGAGTAAAGTATAAATATGCTTCTGGTTTTTTGTACTTATTCTTACTGTTTTAAAATTATTACAAGCCACCCTGAGGTCCTCCAATATTTGTGTGCTTTCAGACAGACTTTGGCTTCTAAGGTTTTCTTGGCAAGATTTATTCAGAGGAGGTTTGCCATTGCCCTCTTCTGAGGATGAGAGAGTGTGGCTTGCCCAGCTGAGCGGAGGTTTGGCCCCTGGTCTCCTGGAAATCCTAATCCTTAAACCAATACATTGTGCTGACCCTCCACCCTCAGCTTTAGGGTGAAATATCAATATTTTAAATGTTTCTTGAATAACATGTAAGATTCAATTGGGAAAAAACCTGGGGTTTCTTTCAAATGTGCCTATAATTCAGGAGAATGATCCTGGACAGGGCCTAAGTCTGTCTCAAGCATACTTGAGTGTCAAATGTGGATCTAATGGCTGAGATGAAGAAGGTGGAGAAGTATTGTCCTCTTACGTAGTTCCATGGTCTCTCCTTACAGTGTCTGTTGACACCTAGAAAAGTTTCCTGCTGCTGCTTACTGGAAGAGGGGTTGGAGACAGGAAGAAGGAAAATAAGATAAGGAAGGAGCAGGTGGTCTGAAATTGGGAGGGAGGAAAAGAAAGAAGGCCAAGTTGACATTCCTTTCTCTTCAGATCTACATCTTTATTGACTGAATGTCTTCCTCCCAGACTAAGCAACAGTGGCAGGGAAACTGCCAGGGGAAGTTTTTGAGGAAGTGTAAAGGGCTTCTTTTATTACTCATCTCAAAACAGAGACATACATGTGCAAGCCATGGTTTGGTGAGATTCTTGTCCCAACTTGAACATTACGAGGGTTATCTGGAAAGTAAAGTTACAAGGCACATAGCTCTTGCTGGGAATTTTTGCAGGGGAAGTTGGTATCACTGCTGTGTAGCAGGAAGCCAGTGGAAGCGAACAAGCAGTGCCAGTCATCAGTAGCTCATCGACTGGCGTTGTGGTGAAGTTTAGAGATGAGTATCCTCATACTGTTTCCCTCCAAGTGCGAAGTTTACGCTGTAATACACTACCTAGATGTTAAGGACATGAACGCCATTGCGATTCATAGCAAAATTGTTTCAATTTATGGAGAGGATGTAATGTCAAGACAGCATGTGACAAAATGGGTATGGAATATATTGTGAGACCATGAAGAAACTTTGCAGAGCCATCCAAAACAAACGTCGTGGGGTGCTGACGGCGGGAGTCTGTTTCCTTCATGACAATGCGTGTCCGCACGCCGCTCATGCAACACAAGAGTTGTTGACTTCATTTGGTTGGGATGTTTTAAGCCACCCCTCTCATAGCCCCAATCTCGGACCCAGTGACTAAATTGAAGGAACACCTGGGTGGAAAACACTTTGCCAACAGCGATAAGGTGAAAATGAAAGTGAAGAACTGGTTGAAAAAGGTGGAGGGAAACTTCTGTGACACAGGCATCAAAAACTCATTCCATGGATGATGAAATGTATTGAACTGAATTGTGATTATGTGGAAAAATAATGTAATACCTATGCTACAATCCATGTAAGTTTTATTAAAAGATATTCATTTTTTGTATTTTAAAAATACTGTAACCTGACTTTCTGGATAACCTTCATATTTATGGATGAGCAAAGCTCTCTCTCCCCATCACACCACTTTAATGTTTTCCTTTTATGATCTGGTTAAGGACATATTGCCTTTGTTTTTCCCCACTTATTTTTGACATATTGATCTTCAGATTGGTCCAGATCACTTTGGATTGAGCTGCTCCACTCTGAAATCAACTCAACACTTTCTGGTTCAACCCAGAGTCGGTACAAATCTTCTTGAATTTTCCCTAGTCATTTCAGGATTTTAGGTTTAGCCAAATCAGTTTGCACCTCGGTTCAATTTCAGTGAGAGAGCTAAGCATATGTTTTCATCTGCATCATCTAAATTAGAGTAGAAAGAAAAGGAGCAGTGTGTCATTGTTTTAGTAAAGTAGACTGCCCGTCATCTCCCTCATTTTGAGAAATAATTAACCACCTACTCAGAATGTTCTGTTTTTATTAAAATTCTGCACAATGTATTACACTATGTCAATCATAATTTTATTCCTTTACATTCCACCTTTCTCCTAGTAATTAGATTCAAGGTGAATAACAATGTATTGAGGAACAGCACACAGTTAAAAAATGTTTTATACTTCTACTCCTCACCAGACACAGATCTGTAAAATCCATAAGACTGGTACCCATGGTTCAGAATGCTCTTTGGTGGGGTTCAGAATGCCCTTTGATTGTAGATGAACTATAAATCCCAGCAACTACAACTCCCAAATGTCAAGGACTTTTTTCCTCAAATCCCACCAGTGTTCACATTTGGGCATATTGAGTATTCGTGTCATGTTTGGTCCAGACCTATCATTGTTTGAGTTCACAGTGCTCTCTGGATGTGGGTGAACTACAACTCCAAAACTTAAGGTCAATGCCCACCAAACCCTTCCAGTATTTTTTGTTGGTCACAGGAGTTCTGTGCGCCAAGTTTGGCCCAATTCCATCATTGGTGGAGTTCAGAATGCTCTTTGATTGTAGGTGAACTATAAATCCCAGCAACTACAACTCCCAAATGACAAAATCGTCCAACCTCACCAGTATTCAGATTTGGGTATATTGGACATTTGTGCCAAATTTGGTCCAGTGAATGAAAATACATCCTGCATATCAGATATTTACATTACAATTCATAAGAATAGTAAAATTACAGTTATGAAGTAGCAACGAAAATAATTGTATTGTTAGGGGTCACCACCACATGAGGGACTGTATTAAGTGGTTGTGGCATTAGGAAGGTTGAGAAACACTGCTCTAGGCATTTTCTATGTTCTCCAGTGTGACATTATAGTAGTCTTTGTGCAAAGGTCCTTCATTTCAAAAGGGTTTGTGATTTCACATAGCCATGTGAAGTCTTAGAACATATTCCACAGAGATATTGGGTGTTGTACAGTAAAGTAATGTAACAGTAGTTTATAACAATAACAAAAATAAATAAATAACAGGCATCTATACTGTTTTATATAATTTGTATGTTCAAAACCAGTTAACCTCATGAAGGGTAAAATTAGCTCTGGCATGACTTTATGTTTGTGGCTGATTTTAGTCTATGAGAAAGATTAGAAAAGAGGAAATGGGGTTGCTGGTCAGATGAGAGTGCTAAGTAGGAGTTGGTTTGTGGGCAGATGGTGGGTGAGCAGATGACTTGACTTGGGAATGATTATTCCATTAAAGGTTGTCATTTTCATATTTTTTTTGTTGACAGGCCAGAGATGGCTGGATCTCGGTTTGTTTCCAACAGAACATCCAATGCGTTATCATCAAATTCCGATTACACTTGGGAGTATGAATATTATGAATATGAGCCAGTTTCCTTTGAAGACCTCAAGGCTCATAAATGTAAGTAAGTCTTATCTGGGTCTTCTCTCTTTCAATGCAGATGTATTTTCAACTGCAATTACAACAAAAATGCATTTTGCGAATTGCTTCTCTCTTCTTTTGCTCACTTTCTCTGTCTCACACATATTTAGTTTAATGGCATCTTTCTCCTATAAAATGCAATTTCTTCCATTATTCTTGGCCACTGTTTGCAGTAATGGATATTGATTCATTTAAATGGTTCCAGATTCAATGCAAAAATGCTACATTTCTTACTTCAGTGAGTGTCTCAATGCAAATGAAGGAAAAACTATGGGAAAGCAATTAAGAGTGAGGAGGTACTGCCTGGGATAAATACTGTGCCATCCGCTGCTAGACTCTAATCGTTTCTCCACTTAGGCATCAAATGAGGTTGGAAATTCAAAGCTTGTCACGGAAGGTCTAACTCCATTGTCTAGAGTTCATCTTAAGCATCATCATGAGAGGCCTCCTGCAGGCAAGTTGAGGAGAGAAACTAGATACCGTATATACTCGAGTATAAGCCGACCCGAATATAAGCTGAGGCACCTAATTTTACCACAAAAACTGGGGAAACGTATTGACTTGAGTATAAGTCAAGAGTGGGAAATGTAGCAAACCTAGTAAACCTCAAAATAAAAATAGATACCGATAAAATTACATTAATTGAGGCATCAGTAGGTTAAATGTTTTTGAATATTTACATAAAACTGTAATTTAAGATAAGACAGTCCAACTCTGATTAAACTATTATTATAACCTCTTTCAATGTAAATGTGCTTACGTATCCTTCCAATAATAAAGAGAGTAAAATAATATATGTAATAATAACAGTAATAATAGACTAAATAAATAAATGTAATAATAATAGAGTAAAATAATAAATGTAATAACAATAATAAATTGAGAAAAATAATGTAATAATAATAATAATAAATAGAGTAAAATAATGTAAATATAATAATAATAATATAGTAAAATTATATATGTAATAATAATGATAATAAGAGTAAAATAATAAATGACCTTGACTCAAGTATAAGCAGAGGGGGAGAGGAGTGTGTGACTTATTTCATGTATGAGTGCATGTCCTCACACCTTCATTTGCCTGTCAATTTCTGGTGGCCTCATTAATTTCATAGGGTTTTCTTAGGCAAGAAATAAGGAATAAGAGAAGGGCCGCCAAAATGATCAAAGGTCTGGAAGCCAAGTCTATGGGTCACCACAATTCAGGAAGGATATTGGCAAGCTAGAACGTTTCTGGAGAAGGGCAACCGAAATAATTAAGAGGCTTGGAAACTGATCCCTATGAAAAATGGCTTAGGGAACTGTGCATGTTTAGCTTGGAGAAAAGAAGACTGAGATGGGACATTATACTCTGTCTTTATGATGCCAGAGGAAGAAGTGGTAGCATCTGCTTTCACTTTTATTTATAGCAATGCCCTGTGATATCCAATTGCAGAACTGAGCTTTAGTGATGAGCTAAGGTCTGTCCAACCATTGTTTAAAGTCAGGATGGCAAAGTGTGGCCCATTGGTCTTGATTGCATTTGGTTCCCAAGGCTCCCTGGATCCTCATTTTTGTGAAAGACACCCCCCCCCCCAATACTATAAGTTGTTTTGCTATCTTTGGAGATTTTCTTGAGAGGGCCTTATATGTTTTAGATTGTAAAGATCAAATTCCCATATGTTCAATGTGTTGTCGAAGGTTTTCATGGCCGGAATCACTGGGTTGCTGTGAGTTTTCCAGGCTGTATGTCCATGTTCCAGAAGCATTTTCTCCTGATGTTTCACCTGCATCTATGGCAGGCATTCTCAAAGGTTGTGAGGTATGTCCCATTTTTTTAAAAAAAAATCTGCACAGGTTTAAAAGAAGCAAAAGAGCGGTCATTGTTCCTGTTTTCCTTCACTTAGTTTCAGGGGGTGAATCTATTATGGGGTTTTCTGGGGCTAAGAGTGTGTGACTTGCCCAAGGTCATCCAGGAGGTTTACATGCCTAGCCAGGAAAGTTGCTTGTTTCATATAGGCCACAGTTTGCTGGTTTTAGATAACATAATCAGCTGCTGTTAATTAAAAAAATGGAAATTAAAGCTTTGCATCTCTACCTCATACTTGAGGATAGGGTAGAAGCAAGGAGTATAAAATCCTGGAAATTTATAACACAGAATGGTGGTGAAAAGAGGCTCATTCTGTTACATGGGCATGCCAATGATTCAGGCAGACATAATTTGTTTCAGTGATGAGATGTCATCTTCTGAACATGGACGCAAAACTCATGAAATTAGAACTGTGGCACATTCAGTGAAATGACGTATTCTGTTTAAAATGTATGCAAAACTTCAAAGTGGGAGGAAATATGATGATGGTGCAGTCAAATGTAATTATAGGTATTATGCGATCATAATTCCTTCTCTGGTTTCAAAATCACATAGCTAACAAAAGTAGTTTTTAAGTGCTTTTAAGTGAGGGAATATCATGCAAAATATGTACAGAAACAAGAGAGATTCCACAAATGGTAGTGGATTTTATAAAAAGTCACGAATGGTGCATTATTTGCCCTGTTATTCTTAGTAGTATATTTTTGTATTTTCAGTAAAGGTATGAGGCATAAAGCACCTCCTAGCTTGCACATACTTGTTGGGGAAGATTCTGAGAATTGTAGGCCAAAACAGTAACTTTTCTAAACTCAGATGATGGATAATATCATCCTTAACTGTCTTGATAAGCTTTTTAGGGATTAGGTAGATGAGAAAAAGAAGTCAGACTGTCAAGACCAAGGCACAGACACTCCTTCTGCCAGTTACAACACAGACACTCCTTCTGCCAGTTTCTCTTCCCAAATAGGTGATCAGCTTGGTTCATACCTGATTTTTTATGTTTGGAGAGTCATAGATGTATGGGTCTTATTTGTCTTTACTGTGTCCAGAAGTGTAGCCAAATATAGAAATACATTTCTGCAAAAGAAGAATTTCTTAGGTTGGACTCATAAAGTTGTGCATAATCAGCCATAGAGTGCACATAATTAGACCACGACCCAGAAAATTATGCTAGTTCTGGTTCACAGTCAGCTTGGCAATCTGCTGATCCAATACTGCCCTCATGTTCTTGGCTAGGACAATTTCCTGGAGGTGCTGCAGTCAGAATCTCAAGCTCTACCAGACCAACCAAAGCTGCAATAGTAGCTCTTAGGCCAGAAACTTCCCTTTGCAACATATCCATTCTCTGAAATAACTTTTCTGCTGTCTGCTCTACTAGAAAACACCAGAATAATATGAGAAACATATCCCGTGTGTTGCATCCAGGCAATGTTTCTCAACAGTGCTCCTCTAGGTGCTTTGGACTTCAGCGCCCACAATTCCTAACAGCAGGTAAGCTGGCTGGGATTTCTCGAAGGTGAAGTCCAAAACACCTGGAGGAGCAGAGTTTGAGAAACACTGCATGCAGGGATCAAGCAAGATCTGCTTTTGTTGAGATTCAGTTTGTCTCCCTACAACGCACACATACATTCATACTGATGAAAGTTTGTTCCTCATCCTCAAAAGAGTAACTTGTCTTTTACAGATTCCATTGTGATTGGGTTTTGGGTTGGCCTTGCTGTCTTCGTCATTTTCATGTTTTTTGTACTCACCCTCTTAACAAAGACTGGAGCATCGCACCAGGAGTAAGTACCAGAAACTAATCAATGAATCATCAGTACAGGCCGAGTATCCCTTATCCGAAATGCTTGGGACCAGAAGTGTTTTGGATTCCTCCCACCACCCCTCCGATTTTGGAATAGCTATAGGACCCAAGTCTAAAGATGAAATTCATGTATGTTTATATACATCATATACACACCACCTAAAGGAAATTTTGAATTCAGTATTTTAATAAGTATGTTCATGATACAAAATGTGTATACAATGAACCATCAAAAAGCAAATCCATGTGGATCATTTTGAATTTTGGATTATTTTAGAGTTCAGCATTCCAGATAAGGGATACTCAATCTGTATCTTTATAACTGATTTTAGTAGTGTAGGACAGGGTGGGAATTTTGTGGCTCTCCCAATGTTACTGTACTGCAACACCTAGTATTGCTCACTATTGGCTGTGTGGACTAGCCCCAGGGCCCTATTTAGGTACTAATATAACCCTTAGGAACTATGGGTTTGGTCTGGTGGTTGTGGAAGGGGTTGTACTTATTGGTTGAAGTCAGAAAGAGAGGGAATGTTGGAAAAGAGCTGTCGTTGTAAGGGATAAGAAGTAAGGCTTTCTTACCTTGAATATGGTTATAATACTTTCAATTATTTTTAATGATGGGCTGAAAGGCTAAATTACTTTTAGTGAAATTCCTATCATGCATTTCTACCTAATTGTCCCAAAAAGAATGCAGACAGTGTTACATTGGCAGAGTGGATATCTGTCAGTGTTGTTCCCTTGGGTTTCTGCTGCATGGCACCAAAGTGAATTCTTTGGGCAACCAGTGACCAGCAGGAGTTCCCAAGCATCATCCAGCTCCACTTGTACAGCTTGAGAAAAAGGAAGATCATCATCCTCCCCAGACCTCCATTGGGTCCAACAACATCTGGAGGGCCACAGTTTCCATATCTGGTGCAGAAAAAGGGTTGAAAGTAGAATATCGGTTTACTGGCATCTTCAAATAGGCTTAATCCTTACCTCAAACATCAGAAAGTAGCTGCTGTAGATAATATAGTTTGTGATTGACAAATGATCAGATTCTGAATAAGACAGAGTTTTACATCCACCTTGAGGTCAAATAAAAGTTCTCAATTACATGAATACTGAATTGTGATCTACATCTGCTAATCCCAATTACAGTAAATCCAATTTATATAGTTGAGATTAACAACTGGATTTGGGCACGGGGAGATTTGTGATAAATCCCTCAGAATTCAGCTGGGATTAACTGCAAGTGTACAAGCTCTCATTTAGAAATTACGGTACTTCCTTTTTAAAATTTTTTTAATTATTTTATTTTGCCAATTACTTCCTAATTGGCAGTGTAGACTAATATTATCCAGGGCAATGCAGTGAAAACTGCATAATATGGCAGTGTAGATAGGACTTTAGATCAGTGGTTCTCAGCCTGTGGGTCTTCAGATGTTTTGGCTTACAGCTCCCAGAAATCCAAGCCAGTTCACCAGCTGTTAGGATTTCTGGGAGTTGAAGGCCAAAACATCTGGGGACCCACAGGTTGAGAAGCACTGATCTAGAGGGATCCTCTCTAAGAGTTTGCTAGCTTCTCCAGGGTGACTCTATGGTAACTTCAGGCAGAAGTTGAGAACCACTGCCTTAGACACTCTTTGGGCAAGCAAATATTCTGGACCTATCATAACGAGGATGAATGAAGATGTGGCTTGCTGGGTTTTTTTTACCCACAATTCATCTCTCTTTGCTTTCTAGGAACACAGACTCTGCTGAGAAAAGGCTTTGCATGAACAATTTTGTGGCTGACTTTGGGCGACCGCTGGATTCTAACAGGATCTTTTCCCAGCAAGTTGCGGAAGAGTCTAGGTTGCTCTTCAACTGTTACATCAACGAGCTCGAGAACGTGGGGGCAAAATCATGCCCCAAAGTGCCAGTTACAGACAGTAACATCCACTTCCAGGAAGTCATGCATAACAGGGCAAGGCTGGAAGAGGAGCTGCATTGCCACACCAAATTCAACATCCCCAACTTTGTGAACACGGACCAGAGTTCTCTGGGTGAAGATGACCTGCTGATTTCTGAACCACCTATAATTTTAGAGAACAAGCCAGTTAGTCATGCATCCCACTATATTCCTGACTGAAGAAAATATCTCTATCTATCTATCTATCTATCTATCTATCTATCTATCTATCTATCTATCTATCTAATTATCTACTTACCCAACCTCCTTTAAATCTGGGATTTCTTATTTTATATCACACCAGCTGTAGTCTGTATTAACAGAATATATTTGATCTCCAGATCCCCTTGTATACCTCAAGTAAAATATCCTATCACCACAAATGAACTACATGGGAAGAAGGTAGAAGAAGCAAATCTTCCCTGCTCCCCATCAGAAAAACCAACAAAAACAAGAAAACTCTTACAACTGCATATACACAAACATTTGTACATACTCGCCTGAAACTTCACTAATTTATTATTAGTGAATCCCTTGCTGCTGTCATTTGTGTCTATCCATCATGTCCTGGAAAATGAACCATAAGGAATCTACAGTGATAAGAGCATCCTTTTAAAAATCCTCCCAATCGCAAGGTTGCTCTTGCATAAAGGATCCCAGAGTGAATAACCTGACACTTGAGAACTTTGATTTTCCAGATAAGGAGCAATTACGCCTGAATTTTTCTAGTTTCGTCAAGAAATCAATTTCATTTTTATAAAAGCAAACCTTAAGTGCGTATGTGTGGAAGAAAAGCCCTGCATTTATTTGTCTGTAAACTGGCAAGTATATCATTTCATCCAAGCCTCACCAAGATAATTTCCCCAGGCAATGGCATTTCAGTGAAATCAATGAAAAATCTGAATTTCTGGATTTTCAAATCTTTATTTGGATTTGGTGCTCAAGACATAATGCAAATTGGTCTGAAAACAAGTTGGCTTTTTGAAAGGGCCTAATCATTCCTAACATTCAGACCCATTGTTTTCCTATGTGAACTAATCTATGTCTTTGTCCTACGTAACAGGTTAAACAAGGAGAAATAAAGGAATGGTTTAATAGGTTTCAGTGTGTTGTTTGTTATCTTGATCCCAAAACTGTAATTGATAGATATACATTATTTCATCATATTTAGTTTGGTTCAAAATCTGCTGAGCAATTTGTTGATTAAAAGGAAAATCAACTTTTCACTAGAGTGAGATTTTTTCAATTGTTTGGTACTTAGTGTTTAGAAAACAAATATACGGTAGGAGGTCCTTCACTTTTGTGTAAGTTAGGGGTGCAGGATCCTTGTGAAAGTGGGAAAAACACAAATAAGAGGCCCTATTTTCTTTTTAACCTGAGAAAACATTATCTCTAGGTCCTCCAGGCTGACTCTGCGGTCAACTTCTGCCAGAGATTGACCATAGAGTGACATTGGAGCACCTAGAGATCTTCAGTCACAGAATCATAGAGTTGGAAGAGACCTTGTGGGCCATCCAGTCCAACCCCCTGCCAAGCAGAAAAAATCGTATTCAAAGTAGCCCCGACAGATGGCTATCCAGCCTCTGATTAAAAGCTTCCAAAGAAGGAGCCTCCATCACACTTCGAGGCAGAGAGTTCCACTGCTGAACAGCTCTCACAGTTAGGAAGTTCTTCCTAATGTTCAGGTGGAATCTCCTTTTCTGTAATTTGAAGCCATTGTTCAGTTCAAGCGATGTCATTTATTCTTTGATTTAGTCCTGAAGATGGTACCCTAATAATAACCCTATTTAACATATTTGCATCAAGACTATATCATTTTAGTGCCATGGTATCTCCTTGAAATGTTCATACTCTTCTGCTTAAAGAATCTGAATGTCAAATGCATCTATGTTTGTTTTGAGTGTTTATGCCCAGTGAAGTGTTTGCCAGATCGCAAAAGTTTGGTTCAAGTAGTCTTTCTGAGTCCAGTAAAGATACACTCTAGAACCCTGTCAGTGTCTTTCATATGTATGTTCTTAAATCTGAAGTTCCCAAGTGGAAAACAGTTATCTTTTGTTCAATGAGGAATTTTTATATTCAGTTCAAGGTTGTAGAAGTGAAGTTATATGCAGTGTCTTTGTGCGCGTAAGGCACTTGAGCATTCCATTTGAATGTGGTTATGCTTTCAAAACAAGGGTTTCACAGGGAGTATTTGGAGCTGTTTTTTCAGAATATGGCTTTTATGAATGAAGAAAGAAAGAGAGCATGAAATGGTTTTGAATTTTAAAATATATTGGTCAAGAGACTGGATCGGAAAAGATATTGGAAAGTTCTGCACAAACTAACATGGGTCCCATATTGGGAAAAAGGTGGGCTATAAAATAAAAAATAAACAATATCACATCTCTCCCTTACTCCTCCAATCCATATTTAATATGGTTATTTATTGACTGGTAATGGATGACAGAGTACAGGCAATCTCTGAATAACAAACATCCGACTTAACAAACAACTGTCAAGAACAGGGGTAAGACAACAGTGAGAGAAATCTACCCCTAGCAAGGGAAATTCACTCCTGAAAGAGTCATAATAGGGAAAAGGCATTTCCATTTGAGCTTGATCACCAATCCTTGTTTCTACAACAAGCCACATTATTCAAAATCCAATTATCACAGGAAGAGAGAGTTGAAATTGTCTGAACAGGAGCACAAACAGCAAAACAACCACCACAGGGGTGTTAATTCTTCCGCATGCTATTCAAAACATACACATGCACGCGTGCGGCTGGAGCTACACTGAAAAATATATCTGTTCTGACTTACAAACAAATTCAACTTAAGAACAAACCTACAGAATCCATCTTGCTGTAACTTGGGGGCTGCCTGTAGTGTCCACCTATGCTCTTGTGATTGGATGCACAGCAGCAGGCGCCCTTTGGGACTTCATGGGAGAATTGTAGAAAATCTGGATGGTCTCATTACTGGATGTTCAGATGTAGGGGACACAGCTGGATGCTGCTCCGCTGCTCACCCATCTTTCTAATACATGACATCGTTGGGGAATGGAGGGAGGTGGCAGCAGTTTAAAAGAGTTTAAATGGTTCTGGAAGAATTCCAACTTCTGCAATGACAAATGAGTTACACAGGTATAACTTTGACTTACACCCTCATAAAGCACTTTAATCAGTAATAGAATGTTAACCAACATGTAATGCAATTATTTTAAAGTACTAATAATCATGTTGGCGTTTGTTAATGTTCATGCCATCATCACTAAAACTCACTTGTACATCCACAAAATTTTGTTTGTTTCCCATTAATTCTAAGATGACTGAAGTCAAGGCAGATCCTTGTGTGGGACCCACAATGAATGCACCATGCAAGTTTTAAAATTATGTCTTATTTTATGTATGATCGGGTTAATCAGAAGAGTTTACATGATCAAGTACTGTATATTTTGCAATGGCTGTTTTGTAGTCAACATTAATGTACTCACTACTGCCGTTTTCTTGTTCAGAATGCTAAAGTGGGGGTTGATGGGATGAAAGTAGAGCAGCTCCTTGAGTTGGGATTCAGGAACAGGGCCAAGATCTTGCATGAAACCCATAACCACAGTATTGTAGCTATGCTTTCGCTCCTCACCAGACCTCTGAAACCCACCTTAAAAGCCAGTTAGCCATTCAGAATGACTTAAATCTCTATTTCTAGCAAGTGGAGTGCTGCATGATGTGACTGCCCCCTCCTGCAAAGTATGCTTTAATGAAGAGTTTTCAGAAGTCCCAGTGGGCATTCCTGCTGGCACAAGGGTGCATCCTGAAGTGGCTTGCAAACTTTCATCTGTAGATTTAATTAATTTCTCTGCCTACCTGTATGACCACTGCCTTGATCCATCAAATGAACGTATTATCTAGTTTAGTCTTACTACAAGAGGTAAACCATGGGCAGCTGCTGGTTTGTGAATTTTTAGCTGTTGGTCTCTGGCAAGAAGGAATGACGAAAATGGCTGTTGCCTATGTACACAAATATGGTACTTCCCCCTGGCACAAAACACCCCTGCTGATTCCTCACATCAGATAGCTTAAGAAGCTCTGGTCTAGTTCATTTATTCAAACAGTGCTATAGGGAGAAGAAGGGATCCAACACTATTAAGACTGGTTTTTAGACAAGCGTTTTGATTGTGCTTTTCCTTTTTAGCAGAAGGGGGTTGGAGTGGATGGCTCTTGGGGCCTTCCATTAAAATACTGTTAAGTTTATGTTGTTTGTTCATGTTTTTTCCAATTAGTTCACACAAACACCATCTGCCACTAGCCCAGCCTGTCAAATTTTAAAACACAATGCTGTCCCTGTGCCCAAAAGTTTGCCTATGCCTGATATATGTACATTATATATAACATATGATATATAACATATAAACATTTCTTGGGGCTGCACAAGAAACTTTTGCTTCAAAAAGAGCTCCACAGCTGAAAAAAAATTCTAATCTATTATCTTGTCTCCGGCTGTAGAAAAAGATGTATCTTCAATCCCTTATTGTTTGCCTTTAGGCAATGCCAGAGGAATAATATGTATTATCGAGACAGACTGCTGTGGAAAGAAGTCCTGCATATATGTTTCAGCTAGGATTGCATGGGGTGAGTCTTCAGAAGGAGAATCAAAGCTACAAAGTCTCTGAAGTCCCCTGCTGAATAACAGAGATGGTTTGATCTGAGCAAAAACACAGGAACAAAAGGGCTCCTCCTAAACATAACAAAATCCTGCCTGACCTCAGAAACAAAGCAAGGTTAGGCCTAGCTAGTACTTGGATAGGGAACTACCAACGCATACCAGATTCTGTGAGGTATTATTGAATGGAAGGCAATGGCAAATCACCGGAGTGTTCCTTGCTTAAGACAACCTGAGAAATTCACGAAGGAGTTGTACATTGACAGGTCAAATACAAATAAATACAAATAAATACACCTACCAAGTTGAAACTTAGCTAAGGAAGTAGCTTTTTTGGGTAGTGATGGTAACATCTAGAGCAGTGGTTTTCAACCTGTGAGTCTCCAGGTATTTTGGTCTACAACTCCAAGAAATCCCAGCCAGTTTATGAGCTATTAGGATTTCTGGGAGTTGAAGACCAAAACATCTGGGGACCCACAGGTTGAGAAACACTGACCAAGAGGCTTTTTATGGCTAACCACTGCCAGAATCCTATAGTCAGTATGGATAGGAAGTAGAATGATTTCATGAAACTGAAAATTAAGCTGAGCCTGAGTTTGAATATACTTTGTCACATCATCCGAGTTTTGTCAGTCCTTGTATGGACAGAAATCAAGCAATTCACTATACTTGACCATAATCTTTTAAACACATCCAATAGTGCAAATATTTTTTCTAAAAATTAGCTTTGAGGGGGAAGGAAAGCATCAGCATTGACATTCCAATTTGTATTCAGCATAATTTAATTTGTACAAAATTTTTAAAAAGACAAGTAGAGGAGATTATACAGTAGAAACATGGAGAGATTCCCTAAAAGGTGGAACTAGTGGTTTTCAAGCTTATTTATTTTCATCTTTATTAAATTTCTCTGATTAACTCATGTACATTCAAATCTTCCAGTAATTTTCTGACACATTTGAGGAATGAACTGGAATGATGACACCCTGTTTCTGAAGCTGCCGCAAGACATCCAACATGGAATCCAGCTCTATGCGAAATTTTTCCAGTTCTTGATTTTTCAGCAGCGCCAGCTTTTTCCATTTTTCAGTCTCTTGGATTTGTTCTACTTCAGCAATATGCCGTGTTTCCTTTATTACCTGTGAGAAAAGTATATTGCTTTCTAAACATGTTTGTTGATAAAAGAGTGCAATCTAATTATTCAACCTTATTCAAAATGCTATCTATGTACCATGTATACTCAAGTATAAGACAACCCGACAATAAGCCGGGGCACCTAATTTTACCACAAAAAAACTGGGAAAACATATTGACTTGAGTATAAGCCAAGGGTGGGAAATGTAGCGGCTACTGGTAAATTTCAAAATAAAAATAGATACCAATAAAATTACATTAATTTAGGCATCAGTAGGTTAAATGTTTTTCAATATTTACATAAAACTGTAATTGAAGATAAGACAGTCCAACTCTGATTAAACCATTATTCTAACCTTCTTCAATGTACTTACATATCTTTCCAATAATAATAGAGTAAAATAATAAATGTAATAATAATAATAATAACAGCATAAATAATGGAAATGTAATAACAATAATAAATGTAATAATAATAACAGAGTAAATAATAGAAATGTAATAATAACAACAACAATAAAGTAAAATAATAAATGTATATACAGTAATTACAGCATATATAAAACATTTTTATGCTTGTTTTATAATTATTAGATAGCAATGACAAGCATTCCATAAGCAGATATAGATTTCATGTGATTGTATTAGGGCCATTTTTTAGATTATACAGTTCATGTAAGAAAAATGCATGATTTATGGGGGTGGGGGGGGGGAGCGTGAAGCCCAGATGTATCTTGTCGTGTGTCAACCTCAATTGGGGTTATATGTCAAGTATGCCTAATTAACACCTCAAGTGTGAAGGATCCATCTCAAATGAAATGTATAAATTAGTGCTGAGGAGTAGAGCTTAATGTAGTCTGTATTTCTATAATCAGACATTTCAATGGCATCTGTTCTGTTAACTTACTTGTGGATGTGTGTGGGTGCAAATTACAATTCACTTGTAAGGACAGCTCATTAAAGCAGGGTGCTTCAAAAAAAATAATGGACCTGATCTAAAACGGCAGTATCACTTCAGTTGCAAACTACCCATGAATAAAACTCTTACCACTCGGAATGGCATAGAGTTTAAATGATTACTGCTTTTCAAATGATTACTGCTAGATGTCTCTCTCAGCTCACAAGCAGCCCTTATACAGCCTGAGTGCTTCTCTCCTCCACATGCAGTTTCTCACCTTGCCATTGCCTGGCAAATGCTTGAAGGGCACCTGCTGCTGCCCCATGCTGGTGAGGACAGGAGGAGCGGGTTAGAAGGTAGGAAATCAGCTCATTGCACCTCACTCGGGGGAAAGAACAATGGTGTGCTCTCAAAGGGAGTGAGTCTGCCTTTTCCTTTCCATATGAGTTCACAGCAGCCAGATTTTGATGTTGTGAATTATCTCCTGCTCTTTCCTCTTGTAAGGAGGGAAAGAGAGGTCTGGAGACAGAGAGTAAGCACAAGAAAAGATCCCCTCTGTGCCCTGTCTGAAAAGGCATTTAGGTATCCTTAAGTCATGAACAGGATACAGGCCAACGTTAGTGCATGCTCTTTTCTTGTGCTGAAGATTGTCTAACCAATACGTGAAATATTAAGATGCAATCAAAAAATCAGTAGAAACAAGAAGGCCATCTAATCTGGCTTCTGTTTAGAATCAAAACCATCCTTTTGATTAAAATTTTCATATGCAAAATCCAAAATTTTAGAACTAGACTCCTCCTGCCTTTAGAGGAAAATTCCTCCGAATGAAATATAAATCTAGGAATAAATGGTATATGTATCCAGTTTGCCTTTCAGTTCTCACTGCAGAGGAAACTTGACAAAATCACCCTTCTTGAACTAGATTGAGGTTTGCACATGAAGCTTTTGAAAAACATGTTTAAGAATACTTTGTTTTAGTATTCTGGCCCAGGTTATCTGCCCAAACGTATCTCCCTCTACGTCCTGCCTCGGAGTCTAAGACAGTCTGGGGAGGCACTGCTCTTGATCCCGCCATCCTCATAAACACATTTGGTGAGGACGAGGGACAGGGCCTTCTCGGTGGTGGCCCCCCACCTATGGAACTCACTCCCCAGAGAAATTATGTCCCTACTTTCCTTTAGAAAGAAGCTTAAATCATGGTTCTGGGACAGGGCATTTGGGTAGCAAGCATGACAGCACTTATAATGTTATGAGAATTGACTATGGACAGGCTTTGAATCGGGTCTTTGGAAGCTGAATCAACTTGGAAATGGCTATATGGTTGATAATAATGTTTTAAATTGTTTTTAACCTAATGTTCTATTTAATGTATAATTGCTTTGTTATATTTTGTGTTTGTTGCAGTCCTCAGTCCCCCTTGGGAGTTGAGAAGGACGGGGTATAAATGTTTGAAATAAATAAATAAATAAATAAATAAATGGAAACTACTTGAAAAATTGAGCATTTAAAAGATGTAGAAAACTTGAGTTTTTAAATATGGACAGAAAAATATACATCACATTCTGGTATGCAGCTGTGAAGGAATACATTTAGAACTGGGAAAATGAGAACCACAACAAAGCTGCACTTGATATAATCACCTGTCTCTCCTTACAAGAGGAAAATATAAGGTTCAGTTTTGAAGCTAGCCTTCACTTTTGTTGTAATCATAGTGCTTATCATGAGCTGTCTTTCAGTGTATAAATTAAGTCAACCTTGCCTGCCTGCTGATAACACTTTTGTAACACCTTCTCATTCTGAAGAGGGTAATTATCCTAATATAAGATGGTTGCTATAGCAGCCAAATGGCAGAAATTGGTAGCATTGACTTTTTCAGATAGGAATTCCTTGCTTTTTTTTTACCTGCTGAAGTTCTTGCTCTCTTTGTTCATATCGGGTTTCCAACTGTTTGATCTTTCTTTCCAGACACACAAAGTGCTTCATCTCGGGGGCCTGCCTTTCTCTGGCCTCTCCGAGTTCCTCTAATAGTTTTGCCATCTGAAATAAAAAAAAGCAAAGTCAAAATTCTATCTTCATATACTAGGAGGATCAAGAAATCATATACCAGATTTCATTGCATAATATCAATGTTATCCATTTTAACTTAAACAGGGGGAATGTGATTATTACACAATCTGCCTTTGATTCTGTTTTTTTTTTTTTAAAAAATGCCTTACCTCCGAGATAGGAGGTAAAACTGCTTTGCTCCTGAAAAAGGAGGAGGTAAGATCCTCTGAGGCAAGGCAGTTTGAAAACTATAACATGGAGGTCTCTGGAGCTCCACTCTTCCCTCCTCCCTCTGAAGCAAGGCAGTTTACAAAATCTGAAATGGAGCTCTTTGGAGAAAGGAGGGAATCACAATAATAACAACAACAACAACAACAACTTTTTTCTTATATCCTGCCACCATCTCCTCGGAGGAATTCAGGGCGGCTTACATGGGGACTAAGCCCGGCATAAACAAGAATGCAAAAGGTAGAACAGTAATTAAAAACATATAACAATAAACAATATAATTAAAATAATTACAACCAAAAAAAGTAACAACATAATATAAAGTGTAAACAACCAATAGCTGGAAAAGTGGGCTTGTTCATATTCAAGGGAGCAGGGCAAGGGCTGTGCAAAATGCAGCCTATAGGGCCAGGTTTGAGAGTAAAGTGCTGACAAAAACCAAAATAATAGGTTAGGGCTGGGCAGACCTAATCGTGAGCTATCTGTCATTCAAACACAAACATATTGGGACATCCAAATTTTCAAGGCTTTATGGGAGGCGGACAGGGTGGGGGCTAATCTAATCTCCCTGGGAAGGGAATTCCAGAGCCAGGGGGCCATCACCAAGAAGGCCCTCTCTCTTGTCCCCACCAAACGTGCTTGTGATGGAGGCAGGAGCGAGAGAAGGGCCTCCCCAGCAGATCTTAGAGCTCGCGCTGGTTCATAGGGGGAGATATGGTCTCGAAGATTAGCAGGAGCTGAACCATTTAGGGCTTTATAGGTAATAACCTGCACTTTGAATTAGGACCGGAAATTTATTGGCAGCCAGTGGTGCTGTTTCAGTAGAGGCATCACCCACTCCCTGCAACAAGCTCCAGTTAGTAACCTGGCTGCCAACCTTTGCATCAGTTGCAATTTCCGGACCGTCTTCAAAGGCAGCCCCACATAGAGTATTTTGCAGTAATCCAATCTAGATGTAACCAAGAGAAGATTCAAGTTTCAGAGACCTGAATGACAATTCTTGTAAACTGCCTTGTCTTGGAGGAATGAGGAAAGAGGGAATAATGGAGTTCCAGAGACATCAATTTCATAGTTTTTAAACTGCCTTGCCTTCAGAGAAAGAAAGAAGGGAGAATCAGCCCCAAATGGCTCTGCGACTATTTTATGCAGATTACAAAAAAAAAATCAATTTTTGTCACCTAAAAAAATAGGTGACAAAGTGGATCTGTTCACCGGGGATTGTGTAATGTATTGAAGAAGAGCAACTCGTCACTATACCTGTAACTTTTGTGGGAGTTACAGGAGCAATTCTATCTCTCTGTCCACCAATAAGAGGCCACTGGCTGTTCCTTTATCTCTGGATGTTTTAAATGTGGCTGGTTGCACTCCTGTCCTGACCTGGGGGGGGGGGGGGGGGGGAGGTTAGAGATATATACAGTCCTCCCTCGACATTCGTTGGGAGTTAAAGGCACAAGATTCCCATGAGAGTACAAAACCATAAATAACAACACTGGGGTGTTTTTTTTTTTGGAAACTGAGAGACCAGCTCTTTAGGAGCCTCTAGGTCTTTCAGCATGACTATGGTAAATATCTGCAGGAAAAGAGACCATAGAATCACACTGGAGGAATTAGAGACGCCTAGAGATGATATTTTGATCAAATCTGCACAACTTAACACTGGAAATGAGGAGGGATGACTGTACTCAGAAGTGCTCCTATTTTCAGATGCAATGAAAATGTCTGGATTGAAATTAGTATGTATTTTAAGTATCTCAGCAATGTAAAGAGAGCAGAAAGAGGTCAGAGTGGATAATAATAGTTTTGGGCAATTTAATAAGTCAAGGCCTACTGTCTATAACACATGTCCAAAATAAAATGGCGATAATTTTAAAATACTACTTGAAATTGAAACTTTTTTTAAAAAAAAGTTTCAATTTCAAGTAGTATTTTAATTTTTTTTTTTAAAAAAAAGTTCCATTACTTCTTTTTGAAGAATTTCCTCTCTCTTTTGTGAGACGGCAAGGGCTTCTTGATCTCTACGGAATTCATGAACTTGCTGCTGGAGATGTTTAATAAGAACCTACAGAAAGGATAAATATTCTCAACTTTTACATGGTTTTAAACTTCAAATAAAGCATTTCTTGAAGCTTACAACAAACAGAAATAGTGAGGTATTTCTAGATTTTATAACTTGAACTTTTGCTGATTAGAGATGCATTAAGATTGCTTAGATTTCTATATGAGTATAAATACAGGATCAGTTATAGAAACACAAAGGTGACCAGAATGAAGGATAACTACATAGGGCCAGACAACTGTACCTTAGTAAAGGTAAAGGTTTCCCCTTGACATTAAGTCTAGTCATGTCCGACTCTGTGGAGGTGCTCATCTCAATTTCTAAACTGAAGAGTCGGCGTTGTCTGTAGTTGCCTCCTAAGTCATGTGGCCAGCATGACTGCATGGAACGCCGTTTGCATGTTTTGAACTGTTAAGTTGACAGAAGCTGGGGGTAACAGCAGGAGCTCACCCCGCTCTCCGGATTCAAACCACTGACCTTTTGGTCAGCAAGTTCAGCAGCTCAGCAGTTTAACCCACTGTGCCACTGGGCTAATTGAAAGCAAACTACTTGTAACTCAACTTTACAGAACAACTTTGATTTTCTGTTTAGATACCATATCTGGTTTGTTTTAGAGTATTCCAGAGCTTGGGAAAATTACTCTTTTTGGATGATACCTCCCAGACTAATTCAGCAACATGGCTAGCAATGGCAGCCAGAATAAGTTCTTGAAAATTCTAAGAAGATGCCTTAGTTTCTAGTAGGCACTTTTCCTTTCTGACATAACCTATACATTCCAGGAATTGCAAATTATGACTAAGGTATATCTGTGAAGCATGGGCTTTCTGACTGAGTGATGGACTCTCTATATTTATGGTCACAATTCAACACGGAAATATGACAAATGTTCTGGGTTACCAAGAAGGAGACTGCCTTAAAGATAAAAAACAAGCAAACCCAAGCTTCTCAATGGCCCCATCTCTCCTTTAAACAAACAAACAAATATCACAGCCGTTAACTTTAACATGCTACTTATCATAAAACCAGTCTTCAGGGCAGCATGCAATGGCTTAGGAGGGAAAAAGAGACTAAAATAGGGTTGTCCAAGGACTGCAAAGGTAAATAGATCTGCCATCTCAGTGAAGGAACAGGATGCATCTATTTAATTACTGAAATTATAATGTTCCCCATTAGGAGCTGTTGTATACTCTCTGATTAGTTTACTCCTTTAAAAATATTACTTGCCTTCTTCATAAATCATAGAATCAGAACGGGAAGAGACCACAAGGGTCATCCTGTCCAACTCCCTGCTATCAAAGCACTCCTGACACACGTCCATCTACTTTCTATTAAAAACCCTCCAAAGAAGGAGTTTCTGTCACACTCTGAGGCAGCCTATTCCACTATTGAAGAGCTCTTACCGTCAGAATTTTTTCCTTAATGCTTATGTGGAATCTCTTTCCAGCAGACTGCTCTGTCTCCTAGTCTCTAGGGTAGCAGAAAACAAGTTTGCCCCCTCCTCAATGTGGCATCCTTTTCAAATATTGAAACATGGCTTGATACTAGGCTATATTAATGATGAACGTTTGTAGTACAAAAGCACTGCAAAACAAGAACACCTGCCACTCTGGAGAACTGAGAAGACAATGTGTCTGCTTACCTCTTGTGTTGAAATTTTACTATTTAACTCCGCTGCTTTGGAAGTAGAATGTTCCAGAGCATGTTGACAAAGGATCTTCTCTAATTCTTTCTGATGGGATGCTTTAAGGGCTGCAATGTATTCTTCTGAGTCTTCTTTAGCTCTGTAAACATCATTGTTAAAACAGTTACTATAATTTGCAGCCATCCTCAGTGATTAATATTCCCTTTGGTTTCCAGATGCTTTAATTCTGCAGATGGTCCTGCTACAGTAGAATCAATAATCCCTTTGCTTCCCATTGTTCTTGGTGTTCAATAGCAATTTCCCTTACTAGATAGAGAAGAATCCCAGAGGACTGAACTCAAACTAAATGTGATCATTATCTACCTCTTTAATATTGGCATGCTTGCTTTTCTAAAAAGCAGAAATAGCTTATGGAATAGACTGGCCTGGTGCAATCAACCCTTTTATTTCTGCTAGTCTTTTATGTTGAACCCCTATCCCCTATTTGCATTTCAAAGAAATGGTGTCAAATGAAATATGGGATTCTGAACAAATCTTGCTAAGAAAACTCTGTGATAAGTTCACCATAGGGTTGCTAAGGGTAAAGGTTTCCCCTTGGCATTAATTCTAGTTGAGTCCGACTCTGGGGGATGGTGCTCATCTCCATTTCTTAGCTGAAGAGCCAGCATTGTCCATGGACACCTCCAAGGTCATGCAGCCAGCATGACTGTATGGAGTGCCATTACCCTCCCGATGGAGTGGTACCTATTTATCTCCTCACATTTGCATGTTTTTGAACTGCTAGGTTGGCAGAAGTTGGGGCTAACAGTGGGAACTCGCCCTGCTCCTTGGATTCAAACCACCGACCTTTTGTTCAGCAGATCAGCGGTTTAACCCACTATGCCACCAGGGGGGCAGCTATAAGTCATATATAGGGTTGCTATAAGTCAGAAATGACTTGAAGGCACACAAGAACATAGTATTTTTATATGTTACCTTCTTACAAGACTTTCAGAATTTGCAACTGCTGCTTGAGATGATACTCTTTGTTGGTTCAGTTCTAGGGTCACCTTTTCCAATTCATTTTTCAACTGGATGTTTTCTTGCAGAACTTCCGAAACATGAGAATCAGCAAAGGCATCGGGTTGGTATATTTTATCATCAAGAGTGGCAGGAAAGAACTCATTTCTAGTGTTCCTGGGATCCCTTTTCAAAATTCCCGAAAATTTTCCCTTGTTATCAGCTTTTCCAGATGAGTTTTTATCAGAGAGCATGATCCTCCTCTCTTTTTGAAGCCTTTCCACAGTTTTAGTGAGGTCTTGGATCTCTCTATTTTTTGCAATCACTTCCTGATTCAGTCTTACCATCTTGGCCTTTGCATGAGCCTGCTCTACCTGGTGCTCAAGAGATTGCAGTTCTGCATTGTCTGTTGTGTTTTTCTGGTGTTCTAATTCTCCTATTTGCTTTCTAAGGGAATCGATTTCAGCTTGAAGATTGCTTATAGTCATCTGGTGGGCTTCATTGATATCACAAAGTTTTTTTTCAAGTGCTTCTTGAAGCATGGCTGCATTGTCTTCAAGTTGCCGTGGCTCATGCAGCAGTTTATACGCCAGAAGCTGTTCAAGTTCCTCAATCCTTTTCTCATACTGAAGCTGTAAAGACAAAACATAGGCATTTCTGCTTTGATTTGCAGCAAATTAAAAAAAAACCTACTACGTAATATTTTAAGGATTAAAATATGTTGTTTGTCATAGTTGCTTGTTTTCAATTCTGTGATTTTCATGGCAGGGGGTTGGACTAGATGGCCCATGTGGTCTCTTCCAACTCTATTATTCTATGATTCTATGAAAATATTGTTTTATCTTCTAATCCAGGAATGGGGAAAATGTGGCACACGGATATTTTGGGGTTATTTTCATTTTAAAAAGAACACATTTTGCCTCCGAATACTTAGATATGCAAAACAAGAACAGAAAGTGCTTTTCTGTTGTTTTAAAAAGACCTCCCCTGGGTCTAAAATGATCTGTTGTGTGTGTGTGTGTCTAAAAACATTTTGAAAATGCCCCCCAAGAGGGCATTTGGGTCCATTTGGTAGTGATTATTTTGGGCAGGGGCTAGGTTTATTTATGGGGGAAGGATGCCCCCCCCCCCCGGTCTCCTGATGGGCTAATGCAACCCCCTTGTCTTCCAGTTACCTAAATTTTAGTAGAATAACAGGAAAAATATCAAACAAGAATGGAATCGCCACAAATGTAGCAGTAAAACACATTGTTGAAGAAATCATATTTTAGTGCAAAGAGCAATTTCTTTTTCCCCACTTCTTAAAATTTTGGCATTTATTTTAAGCATAAGCTAAAAAGTTCTTGATAGCACAATTCTATTGATATTTGAGAAGAGGCATCACCATTTTCTAAGTTCTGCTAATCCTAACTGGTCAGAAAGGATAGGTAGATGGCTTTTTTAGAGGACTGTTTAGAGGACTCAAAGATGCTGTTCGCATACATTGTGGTGCACAATGTTTACCAAGACTCCCCCCCCCCCTTTTTTTTACAAGATTAGAAATTCTAGTTAGGTTCCAAAGAAGCAAAAAAGGCTCCAAAAGAACTGTGTCATCATCCAGTCTGCAACTGGGATACTTTAAAGGCCTGCTAAATGCAGAAGCAAGTATGGATCTAGATCAGTGGTTCACAACCTTTTTTTGACCAGAGCCCACTTGACCAAGTACTACTCTCCAACATTAGTACCAATTGGTTTTTGGTCAACTTTAGATTCGGTTTCGTTATTTGGGAAGATGAGTCAGAAAATTGCATTGGATAGACCACATCAGCTCTAGTTTCTAATGCAGAACATATGCCACCCAGTAGTCAACATCTGCTCGCCCACAGAAAACCATATTTAACAATCTAGAACTGATGTGGTAGTAGTAATCTTTCACGGGTAGGCAGCCTCTCCCTCCCGACATCCATGTTGCCTCAGCACTATAAGAGGGTTTTACGAAACTTCTAACTTTGTGATTTTATTTAAACAACATATCTTAAAAGCATAATATTCTTAATCACCTTAATCTTTTGAAACTGCTGCTCCATGGCGCGGAGACTTTTTTTAGCTTCATCATCTTTACCCTCAAGTTCTGCTTCTAACTTTTTAACTCTTCTTTCAAGAAACTCAGCTGTATTTGTTTTGGCAGAAGCATCACCATCTCCTTCACAAGCTGCTGTGGCAGCAGCATATATTAAAGCTGGCAGAGAATTTGGGTGTCTTCTTTTCAGGATCCCTTCCATTTCTTTAACCTTTTAAAAAGCAGGGCAACAAGTTAAAATAAGTTAATGAAACAAACTTTAGTCAAAAGAAAATAATTAACTCCATTTTTGTCATGTCAGGAGTGACTTGAGAAACTGCAAGTCGCTTCTGGTGTAAGAGAATTGGCCGTCTGCATGGACGTTGCCCAGGGGACACTGGGATGATTTAATGTTTTTATCATCCTTGTGGGAGGCTTCTCTCAAGTCCCCGTATTTTAACTCCAATGACTGCCTCCTATGGGATAGTGGGATTTGCAGTTTAGGAAGAGCCCTATAAAGTTCTTAGCCAGGGAGCTCTCTGGCCTTGTTAAACTATAAAACCTAAAATCCCAAAGGATAATAGCATTATAGCATTATAGCAGTATAGTGTGATATTGCCCTTAGTCACCCATATGAAGTAGCTCAACAAACACTGTTCCTAAGGATTTGGAGCTAGTTACACAATTCTTTGACATAAATGTTAACACATACCTTCAATAATAATCAGACCCCAGTAAACTGTAAATTAAAAGCATAGATACAGTATTTGAAACAGATATAAGACTCAAAGGAAGAGTTTATTCTCTGAAATCTGCAGACTATGTTTGAAGTTCAGACTATAACTTCTTCTCTATCATTTTAATGGTCTTGGTGATGGTGCAATATCTTTTGACATAATGTGTATCATTTATCTGCAATTCCTCTTTGCCTACCCTCCCCTTCAAAAACATTAGGATCTAAAACACTCTCAGGTTTTCTCCTCAGTCTGCATGGCAACACTGCAGTTGTGATGATTTATTGTCCTTCACTGGAAGTTATGAAAAATGAAAAACAAACGTAGAACAAAAAACCCCTTTTATTACATACCTGTCGCTCAAGGTCTTGAATTCGTGTTGCATCTGCTGCTCTGTCTTTTAGTCTTTTCTTTTGCTGTGCCGGCTGACTCCCAGCTTCACTTCTAAGTTTGTCCACCTATGCAATAAATGTGGAAATAGACTAGAATGGTGCAAGTGTAACAAAAATATTTTAAACATAATGAAATACCTTTCAATAAACCAACAAGAGCAACAAACCCAGAAGTCTAAAACCACAGTGCAAGTGAAATGAGGCATGTATTTCATTGCATTAACTTGCTATTTAAGTAGTAGTGAGAAATTGGCAAATGAAAGGATAGTTTTATTTCAGGATAGTTAGTGCCATTCTCAATGTACAGAACAGTAGACTGGGGCTGGATCTACACTGTCATATGATGCACATTATCAAATCAGATAACCCTCATTATCTGCTTTGAACTGCATTATATAAATCCACACTGCCATATAATTCAGTCCAATGCAGATAATTTTGATTTTAAATGGCAGTGTAGGCCCAGTCTAAAAAGGTTTTGACAGCCAGATACAGACACTTTCATTTGACATTTCTTCAACTGTACAAAGGTGACAACACAAACTTCAATTACCTCTAGTTTCAGTTTATTAATTTCTTCTTTTGCTCCACGAAGACGAGCTGCATCTTTATCCAAGAGCTCCTGATTTTCTGCATACCACTGGAGTCTTTTCTGCAAACGACTAATTTCATCCTTGTAGGATTCCTCCATCAACTTCATCTCATACAATTTTTCAGCTAGGAGGTAAATGTTCCATTAAACATTTCTGATAGAAAACATTTACCTCTTGATTTTTTTTCTAAAATATGTGTTGCTATTATTTTTCTTCTTCACTATTTTAATAGCCTGTCTTTAAAAATTAAGATACAGCATCAACAAGTGCTAAGCTGAAAGCCAACAATCATGTGGAAAAACAAAGGTAACATTTTATGGTGTTCTTCTTTATGATGAAAAAAAACACACACAAATATATAAACACATACACAACACACTTCCCTTTATTTTAAAGCCTGATTAGAAGAACTGTTTGATATGGTAAGATATGATAATAGGCTCTTTTGGAGTACCAATTATTATTTCCTTCACTTGATAATAATAAACATATTAATTTCAGAAAGAAACACACATCGATTACCAAACGAGTGCCCTGCAGTTTCTACTTATAGTAACATTACCCATGGCATCTCACAAAAAGGATGACACAAAAATTATCCACTCCTTTATCTTTCAAGCACACTGTCTCCCATTACTCCTTGACTTCCCCAGCTGTCCCACCTCTTTATATATATGAGCAATGGCTCTTCTTTAGTAGTGCTTTAAAAAGACAACTCTTAGATGCTGGGAATTCTGGCAGCTGAAATCCCCAAAAGCAAATTCTTTTCAAACACTGAACAGAGACTGGAATCTCAAAGAACTGATAAGAATACAAAAGATCTGAGATTGCAATGCCTGGAATTTCCAATTGAAAGAATTAGATAGTAGGTGACACAATTCCTCTGCTATAGATCACTCATGCCAGTGGAAGTAGATGATATGTGGCAAGAAGGTTAAATACTGAATTGATAATAACCCAATTTATATGCAACTATAATAAATATGGCAGCTTCATGGATACAGTTTTAATTTTGCTCTTGTTCATGTGCACATACTCTCTCACCCGCACACACACTTGTACACACACATCTGTTCACTTATTCTTGTAAGGATAAAATGAAGCTTAGTAGATTGCAAGGTAAACAATGTGGCTATCATCCTACTGCTACAATATCCCATTATTTCTTCATTTTCTCCAATATGTACCATAATCACAATACAAGATTAAAATGAAATATGCTTTCATTCCTTTTGTAAAATAACAGAGAACACAAATCTTACTATTAAACTGACTAATGGAAATTTCCAAACAGTGCTTTACCTGAAATGGCAGAAATCTGTGCTCTGGCCAAATCTCTTTCCTTCTTCACTTGTCCCAAATCTACTTCAAGGGCTTGCTTCTCTTGCTTTAGACGCTTCCTCTCTTCAAGCAAACTGGTTTCTATAGCCTTCATTCCCCCCACAGACCCAACAGAACAAAGGGATACAGAAAAAGAACCATGAGAATACAACCAATTTAAAACCAATGAACATTACAGATGCTTGATTTCGTAAACAAACTGTATGCTTTCATCTGCTCTACTTGGGACACTTGTCCACAGGGGCATTGGTTTTCACTAGTGGGGAACCAATATTCAAATGAACTTGAAGTTCATTATGGTCTAAAGAATGTTTCATCCTGTATCCCACAGAATTCCTGATAGAATTGCTACAGGCAGTCCTCTTTACATTTGAAATCCATAGAGGATTTCAAATCAGTTGTCAAGCTGGGAGACTATGGCCATTAGATGCCATCTGGGTATTTGCTTCCTCTCCATCAGAGGAATAATTGGAAAACCCGCTTCCAGTTTGTGGGTGGACTGAGAGAATGATAATCAGTCTGGGAGACATGTGACTTCCCACTGAACAATCCGAATATCTTCCTGATCAGAAAAGCAGTGGAAAGTATGCTGAAAAATGAGATGAGGATAAAGTGGGGAAGAGGAAAGCCATGAATACTACACCTTGAGTTCAGTGAGGAAAATGTGATCTATAAATGGATCTAATATATAAATAAACACAGAATTGTGGATCTGTTGGAACCCTGCAATCTATTTGAATTCCCCAAGCCTAGCTATCTGAAGGGCAAGTGGGTGGGAATAAAAAAGCAGCTTGTATTTGCTTCATTTGCATTTCCCAAATGGTGTATAAATAAACTAAAATAATAAAATTAAGGAAAAACGCATAATAAAATCCTTGATGAAACCAACACTAAGATGCAAAAGTTAGATGTGTATGTGCCATCATGTATAATTGCTGAGAAGGCCCTCTCATGTAGACCTTTACCTTGCCTCAGTTTGTGGGAGACCTGAAGAAAAGCATCAGATAATATCCTAGTTTGGAAGTGAAGGGTAAATGTTTCCGTATTTGCAATAAGTAACGACATGGCCAAAATAGTTTTATTTATTAATTTATTAAATGCATGTCCTGCCTTTCCAGAAGAAAGAATCTTCAATGTTGATAAGATATAAATAAAGTAACATAACTTAAAATTAAAAGCACCCATAAATCAAATAAAAACATAGGCACTTACCTTGGCTGTTCTAAGTTCTAAAAGTAAATCAGTTAAATTTTGATTCCCAGCTGGTTCGGCATTCTGAGCTCCACATGACAACAGGTTATTTTTATAGACTTGTTCCCTAATTTTTTAAAAAGCAGAATTAACCATTTTGTGCTTCTAATATATGCACAAGCTGTTCCACACTGTCTATCGTTCTATGCAGTTCATGCTGACCTCTGCTCTGAACTAATTTCCTTCAAAAATACATAATATCCTGAGAATATCTTACTTATGTGAATCTTTTTAACCACTGAGGGGGATAGGGGGCCTGAAACTTTACAGTTCGAATTGCCTCTACTTCAGGAATGAACTGCAATCTGAATAAAGTAAATCAGTGAGCAATCCAGATCTTTTGATTTTCTTGCTCATTCACAGAGTTCATAACATATTTTCGCTTGCAATTTAGATTAAGCCTATTCATAAAATCTAAGGCTATTTTCTTGTGTAGAAAAAGTACTAATGGTTCAAACTGCTTCTATCTCTTGATGATATTAATTATAATCATAATGCATTCTCTACAAAATAATCTACAACTGAGATGGCTTTTGAAATGCTGCTCCTACACATCTGAAGATATGATTCAGCTAAAACATGACTGAGCCTACAGATCCACATAGGAAAGTTACATACATGCTCAACTAGTTCAAACCAAAAATAGACAGCCTTCCATACTAAGATCTACTAAAAATGATCACTGTTTTTAGTGGGAAAATCAAACACACTAACCGTAAGGATGCTAATTCAGTCATTAAGCACTGGTTCTCTTTAAACATATTTTCTTCATTTTTCTTGTTATTCTGCTGTAGCTCTTTCACCTGATTATACAATCTTTCATTTTCCTTTAAGATCAAAAATTATTTCACGTAATTGTTATTTGTTCATATGGGAAGACATACATTACAGCCAATACAAATGCCAGAGGGATAGCTATTGCACTTTGATGCTGACACCAAGGATTACTGTTGATACATCGGATACAAGAACCCTTGGCTTGGAGAAGTATTGCGACAATAAAGTTACTAGTGCTTCAGTTGCTATCAAAAGATGCAACAAAACCTTTTATTGTTCTTAGCAAGTAAAGAAGTTCACATATAACACAGCTATGAGCTTAATTCAAACTAAAAGCTTTTCAATGTATTGTTGAAGGCTTTCATGGCTGGAATTACTGGGTTGTATGGGCTATATGGCCATGTTTTAGAAGAATGCATGTAGAACATGGCCATATAGCCTGAAAAACCTACAACAACCTAGCTTTTCATTTTCAGGCTACAAAATTATTTGCATGTGAAGACAACTATGGCTTTCATGAACTTGTGTTATAGGTGGCAATGAATGCCTGAAAATTACATGGATGTCAAACAATTATATGACTTTTCCAGAGCAGAAACATTCTTCCTTTTGTCTCTTCAAGAAAGTAAGCATCTTACTAAATAGACACTAAGAATTCCACATTTCTTGCATAGAGATGAACAAATATTTTGCATTTTTTCCTCATCTCAGCTGTTATCTAGCATCTTCATCTTTGTTCTCAGAGTCTTTCATTCTTCTCAGGACTATTTCTTAATTTTATTTAAGGTTCCTTCTTATCTAGAGACATTCTGAACTGGCATTAACAGGCGATGTCACGTGGGTTTTTCAATTTAATTTTGTACAATTTGTATGGGTAAACATGAAGTGGGAAACTAACTTCCAATGTAGTAGGAGCTTTTAAGTGTGCTGGTATGGCGTCCTGCTCAGTCATCACTACATAGAATTTCAGCTCAATCCCTTATTCTTTCCTATCTATCCCCAACTAGCGACGCCATTGCCATTTCAATTGTTCCTTAAAGTTTTCTTATCCTCCGATTATGTTCAATTTACTTATCCCTTGATTATTTTCAAACAGGGCCTTCACATTAAACGCTATACCTGCTGATACCCTTGAAGAAGCATCTCCTGATTTTCAATTTCTTTTTGGATCTCTTTCAACATTTCTCCTTCAGCAGGGATTCTTTCCCAGATGTTTGACCATTTTGTTTCTTTGTTCTGGTTTTCTTTATGATTTAACTAAGAAAAGAAGACTTTATAAATAAAATGTACCTTTGCTAAGCAGAAAGATGTCTTAATGAAAATGAAAAGCATGTAAGGAAATTTATAGAAATCACATTTGTAGTCTGGCTCTATTTCAAAGACCTTACAATGTTACATACAAACTATCACAATGTATGAAAAAGGGTTCATGAAAAATTTAAAAAATGTCACAGTGACATTTCTTTCATTTTTTAAGAATTACCACAGAGGGTAAATACACACACACACACACACACAAAACATAAATAACAAAAAAAGCAAGAATCATGCTTTGATAACAACTGAAGTAATCAATCACAGCAGATATTGTTCAGTAACTGGGGATGGGGGGGGGGGGGCTTTCATGGCCCCTATACATCCCCTAAACTAGGAATCATGCAGGGATCGTCAATATGAAACAGTAATGAGTGTGTAAGCATAGGTGATCCATTTCTAAATAAAGATTTTTATTCTTCTTATTCTTCTTATTATTTCTAACTGTTCAATGGGATTTCAGCCTATATATTGATACAGGCCTTTACAATTTGATTTTATCAAAAGAAAGGTGATATAATGAATGGCACATTATATTTTTTAAAAATCTGTTCCCCTGATAAGCTGGCAATACGATATAAACAAGAACAATACCTGTGTCTGAAGAACATACTTCTCTTTGTTTAACTCAAAGAGATTCTTATCTTGCTGCATTTTCATTTCAAGGATTTTTGCTTCCATTTCCTTCTCTTTTTCCAAAGATGTGGCTTTTAGATGCTGAATCAAATTATGCGCTGAAGCCAGTTTTTCCTCAGCTTCCTGAATTCTTTTTAGTAAATAAAGCTCCCTTTCACTATTTTGTGGGAAAGGACATGAAACAACCTGAGAGGAAGGAAAGTCCAGTTTATACCACTTGCTGCTCATCACAGAATCCAAGAATGATTAATCGTTTCTCTTTCAGTTCCATAGTAGGAACTGATTGATTTAATATTCTGAAAAGTTGAATTTCTATAGAAAGCCCCTCATGCAGTCTAAAGAAAAAACCGAACACTGACAAGAATAACTTCTTTATCTAACATGATGGCAGATGGCACAGGCAGAAAAGAATAAGCTTTATACAGATATATTAAAAAGGGAAATAAAACCCCATGCTGCCTAGTCATTTGTTTCGGAATAGCCAAAGATGCTATTACTGCTGAGAGCAGACTGAGGGTGCATTTATAGAGCAAGTGCAGTTGGACACAACTTTAAATGCAGTCACTCAATGCTATGGAATTAAAGGAGTTGTTGTTTTACAAGGTGTGTAGCCTTCTTCACCCAAGAGTGGTGGTGTCTCAGCACACTACAACTCCACTACCGTGAGCCATGGCAGTTAAAATGGTGTTAAGCTGAATTAATTCTGAGTGTAGATGCACCCTAAGGTAACCAGTCTTTCCATTATCCAAGGAACACACCCATCTGTTGCTGCATGGCTTTTTTTCTGGTGCCATCATTTACGAGGCTATCCTAAGAGCAGGATCTATGGCTTACACTGTGATTGTGGATGAAAGAGTCATTTTCTTTAACCTGCTCTTGAATACTACTTGCAGATGACTGTCCAGGTGCGGCACAGGAATTTCTCTTCATTGAAACAGGATCCTTTGTTGGCCGTATTGCCTTCGTTCCAGATGTTTCTTTCATAGAAAAAACAAGTGTGTGCTAGATTTTATAAGTTCAGGTTTTAAATACTGTACATTTATATGTGGACTTATACAGTAATTGACATAATGTACACAAAATGGGCATTTTCTGTAACTATCTTTTTCTTCCTCCCTCCCTTGAAAATAAACTAGATACAAGTGAATGAACTACTTTTGCCAAAACTTAAATTGCTTCTATAGTTCACTATACTTTTCACTGTATGCCATGATCTCCCTATGTATATAAAGTTGAAAGGAATGCTCCCTTCTGTTTAAAAGACATGTGTGTGTGTGTGTGTGTGTGTGTGTGTGTGTGTGTATATATATATATAATTTATATTTACCATATTTATATACCGCCTCTCTCAATCCAAAGGTGATTCAAGGAGATTTACAGTCGGCAAACAATGCCACCAACATACATAAAATACAGTTACAAATTTTAACATATAATATAAACCATAGAAAGGCAATAAAACAACAAAAGCCACAAAACACAAGTCCTCAGCGTCTCATCATTAAAATCATTTTCCGTCGCATCATCCAATCATTCCGTGGGTCTGAATTATTTTGTTACACTGCACTTGCAAATGCTTGCTCAAAGAGCCAGGTTTTAACTCTTTTTTGAAATGTTAGGAGGGAGGGGACTGATCTGATATCTCTAGGGAGGGTCTTCCATAGCCGAGGGGCCACCGCTGAGAAGGCCCTGCGAAGGAGGTGGGACCGAGAGCAGGGCCTCCCCAATTTATATAGAGATCAGTAATGTAAGGAACACACACACACTAAAAATTTCGATATAGCCCCAGCTCCCCCTTCCTTATTCTGATACATCAATGTCTATTTCTTTCCAACATTACAAGCCTTAGCTGAGAAAAAATATCCTGCCTTTTCTACTTAGGTAATCTATTTTTCTAGAGTGACGACAAGAATGCTACCTCTCTACCTTCAACCTCAGCCCTTAGTCTCATCCATTGCATAAATATTCTTTGCTGCTTTATATAATCCAATTCTATGCACATGCTTATTGGGACTGTGGATTGGAGTGCACCTTGTTGCTTTCTTCCTTTTCCCGTCTCCTTCGTCTAGTGAAAATCTGAATTACAAACACTTCAGAGGTTCACTTAACTTTGGTTAGAGTATGTTTTAAAATAAGATTCTACTTCAAGAAGCAGTCTACAATATAAGCATTTTGAGGAAACCTACATTCAACAGTTATCCTTTACTTAAACAGATATACCAATATTAATAATCAAATTACCTTTCTGCTTTAGAGGAGATCTGCCTTTCATAATTGGCTTTTGGGGACTCTCTTTTCCTGTCTTCTCATGAACTGCGGAAAAGTGTTTCAATGAAGAACTAGATTTTCCATATCCAGAACTTCTAACAGAACTGTAAGGTCCACTGAGAGACTTCTTTCGATGTACGACCGCTGCGTTTTTGGCATTCTTATGCATCAACTGTTTACTCAACACCGAACTGAGACCCTCTTTAGTCCAAGTGCGGGGCTGGTGTATCTGTGGACAACAGCATTTTTTTTTATCAAACACCTTGGGTTGAAATTGTAATAGTAAAAGAAAATATCTGTATGTCTCTGCAGTCACAGTTCACTCAGGATACTGCCTTAAAATCTGACAGATTTTAGAGGTTTTAGTGGCCAATTTCAAGCTGAGAGATGAGACAGTGCTTCTACATTTCTTCAAGCAAGATGAAAGGTGGAAAAATAGGAGCAAGTTCATACATCACTGTTAGTATTCCTAATATTTATAAAGGTAGAACACAGACAACACTATGATATAGATGATTTCTAAAGTAAGAGAAATGAAGGGAGCGGACATCTCATTATATCAGGCATTTGGTATCCAGACATGGCAAACTATGGCCTTCCAGGTGTTTTGGACTTCAACTCCCACAATGCTTAACAGCCAGTAAGCTGGATAGGATTTCTGGGAGTTGAAGTCCAAAACTCCCAGAAATCTCTGGAGGGCCAAAATCTCTGGAGGGCTGAAGTTTGCCCATGCCAGGTACAGACCTAAGAGAATACAATTCTGGATTAGCCAAATACTGCCATACATAATAATGGACATGGTTCTGTTCACTCCTTTCAAAGTAACATAGTTCACTAAGACTGTGTCCTTTGACTGTCATATAGATGGATAGGTAGGTTAATGAATGATTTTGTACCAGAGTATCAGCTGCGACATATTGCGCTTCAAGAATAAGGAAAAGCCTGGTGGAATCAAACAAAAAGTTTTTTTACAGGAAGCCCACAAGCAAAATGTTAACGAAACATAAAACAGGAAAAAGAAGTTGCTCACTGAGGTTGATAATGTAATTCGAAGGTTTTCCAAGGGGATTTTAGACACTCAGCTGTCAACCACAAGGCTGTTTAGCTCCCTGAAGTCCAATTAGAGGGAAAGCATGGAGGCATAACAGAAGAGATAAAGGGATCCTCTGCAATTGGGATGCCATAGATAGAGCAAAGGAGTGAGGATTTTCCTTGCTGGAAAATTAATCTCTATGAGACATCTTGAGATCTAAGCTGTATTGGTTTGACAAAACTCCTTTATTATATTTTATTATATAAAATAGTGTATTTTAATATTGAGACAAATGTTTTTAATGTTTATGCATTCATACAATGAATTCTTGTCCCGGCATTGAATGTTTGCCGTATATATGCTGTGCCCGGAGTCCTCTTCGGGGTGAGAAGGGTGGAATATAAATGTTTTAAATAAATAAATAAGATGTATCTTATATTTATATTAGCTGTATTTCTTAAAAAATACTTTTGCCTGTATAAAAATTTCCAAAAATGAGGTGTGTCTTAGAATCACAAGTGAATCTTACGTATTTTTGTTGTTGGTACTAAAATTAGGGTGCATCTTACAATCAATGGCCTCTTGCAATTGAAGAAATACAGTATTGCATGGGCCCAGAAAGTGCTGTGACCTGGGGCACTTCATGAGAAAAGTTGGGGTCGTAATTCAAATCCTACTCTGAATTCTAGTTCAGTAGATGGAGTCATTTTTCATAAAATAATATACACAATCTGTTTGCATAAACTAGATCAATAAATGATCACAGGTAGTGAGTATACCATGTGTGAAATTGAGATTCTTACATTATCTTGAATAAATGTATCATAAATATCTACAGATAAGAACTGTGAAGTAGTTTGCATTGTAATACTACAATATAAACTAAAGCAGATGGACACAAAATATAGATGACAAACACAGATCGTCTTGAAATGTAACATCTTATTCAAAAACAACTACATGACCATGTTAGTTGCTTTTAAAAAGACATCATAATACTCCAAGCAACTAGTTTGCATTAAAAATAAATCCATTTGGTGAACCCATACTCCCTTGTGACTATAAAATTAAATATAAGCAAATAAAACAGTTACAGCTACACCATAAGAGTGATATTATTCATTATTATGTTAAATTTGCAATATGAATTAGTTCTGCTTAAATTATTGCAAAGTGGAATACAGTTCTTGTTCATCTTCATATTTACATTATTTAAATAAGATTTATGGCTACTGTGTACCTCATTAAGCTTGTTTTCCTGATGCAATGCTGAAGAATTTAGAAGAGCATTGTGTATCTGGACATCCTGTCTAATTCTGTCAGCCAGTTTGTCTTTGTCAGCCCTTTGCTGAAGAGTATCTTCACTATCCTCCTTTACTGCTGGTTGAAGAGAAACTCTCTCTTGCTCACTATGGTGGTTCAAAGAATCAACATTTGTCTTCTCTGGATATGATATAACATTATGGTGTTCTTTAAATGGGAAATGGCTCACTGATTCATCTGTGTTGGCATGCGTGATTTTTGGAGAACTGAAGAAAGAGAGGGGGAAGAAAATAGGTTAAGACATGCTATTTCCTTATTTCTATATTATTTATGACCAAAAGACCATTTCATAGCTTACGTATTACTGTTATCGCTATTAACAGAAGGCCTGATACTAAAGAATTATTTTTAAATAAACATGGTTGAAAGAACACACTGGGATGCTGAGTCTAAAAAGCAATGCCTTGCATATGACTAGGCCAAGAGAGAAAAGCTTAATGTTCTTTGGTCTATCTACGAGTCCCTAACGATAAAACAAGAAATGTCCCAGAACAGCTGTACAAGCTGATAGACTAGCAAAGGTGTTCAATCTGAGCATACGGCATGGATCGAACTATTTATTCCATTTTGGGTGCACACCAGCATGTAATTGGCAAGATTAAAATTTCTAGCTAATCATCATATTGACTGAATGCTATCGACAGGGATTACTTCACAATTAAACAAAGCTGAAACTGTAGGTTGTCTCACAAATTATTTGGATAGGAATGGAAAAAAATATGAAAAACGAAAATCATTGGCTAAAACCGTGTATTTGCAATAATACCTTGGAGGTTCTAAATCATAGCCTCTGGTAAATGATGAATCCGCTTTGATAGGTTTCATCAATTCTTCTATGGTTGGTAAATCTAAGTAGGTGAAACAGCATTCAAGATCAATGTCCAGTAGCAAAGTATCATTAAAATACAACTTACTTATTACCTTTGGTTCCAGTTACGCTTACAAAAGAGCCTAAATAATCTAAAGGCACTAGAGTCTGTCTGATTTTGAAAGCTAAGCGTCTCTGGTTAGTACTTGGATGGGAGGCTGCCAGCAAAAACCAGGTGCAGTAGGCTGTAGTTAAGAGGAAATGTTAAAAATACCTTAGTATTATGTACATAAGAAAGCCCTATGAAGTTCATGGGGTCACTATAAATTTATAGGCAACTTGAAGGCACACAAACACTCTTATCTCTAGTTAGAGGTCAATTTGTATTTTCCGTCCACAGTATAAAAAGCTGACTGCAACATTTTCATCTGAGTTAATCCATAACATCCTAATACTGCTTCCTAACTGCTAAACCTTTATTTTATGTATGTATGTGTATTTCATTTCAACACATTTTCAGCTATCTTGATATCGCAATTTCAGTTAGGTCAGGAGCACATTTGTCATTCTGTCACCTTTCAAGTTAATAAACAAAATGACTAAGCACCCTCAGACTGACAAAACATCAAAAGTGAATCATCTATGCATCAAATTCACTGTAAAGATGTCTCAGTATCTGAACAGGCATCAGAGATACAGTTGAGTAATTGAGCTGGTACTGCCACAACAAGTGAGTGAGGACCAAAGCTAGTAACAGCAGGGAATTTAAAAGCTATTTATATTTGAGGAGAAGGATGAAAAAACAGTGGCTTGAAAAAAAATCTAGTCATCTCCTTAGAAACAAAAATAGCATCCATAGCTCTGGGGAAAGACTATTGCATAGGAAAGTCAGGTTGTGCATTCCAATTCAATAAGCAACAGAGGACAATAAATCACAGTACAAATTCTAAAGGATGGCATCATCCATCTGACTTGACTTGTGCTTCTGGAGCAATGTGTATGGTGGAAGATAGTGTGCATGAATAATTATATTGACTTGTGCAACGAGGAGCAGTCATACATGACTGAATCATGGATTAGCCCTCATGGAGTGAGAACAGACTGAACAGGAGGACTGGGTGTCAGAGATACAGAGCTGTGCGGAAAGTCTTAATAGACAAGACTTTCAGAGGGGCCAGAAATGTCAAAACTGCATCTCTTTAGCAGGTCTCTGCTGCTAAAAGTGTGTATATCTGAATGAGTAATGTATTTTAAACAGGATTTTCCTTGAAGATATTCTGGAGGGTGCAGCTGGTGGAGAAAGCTAATGATTGCATGTGGACATGGATATTGAAGTAGATCTATCCCAACTTCTTTTGAAATTTCTTAACTGGGTACCAGTGAGGCACCAGATCCAATTCACGATATAGCATATAAAGCCCTAAACTACTCAGACTCAAAGCACTTAAAATGCCACTTCCCACAGTATTAATTTAAGATTAGCTGGAGAGACCCTCTCTGTTGTGTTATAAGAAAAGTATGGTCTGGGGTTTCTTACATTTTTCCACTCACAACCCCTTTCCACCCAAGAAATTTTTAAATGATCCTGGGTATAAAAAAGGTATAAAAATCAAACAGTATGAAGACCAATTGGCTTTTGCAAGACTTGCTAAATAGGCTGGTTTTCCTTTTTGTGGAATACATCTGAAGCATTTTCTGCAGAGCCAACTGTAAATACTCTACGCTGTTGCGAACAGATTTGTGTAAAAGGGCGCAATTCAGAAATCTTTTTCTGCTGCCAATTTTTTGTGGGCACCAACAGTAGGATAAGAGGACCCTTTTTGGGATCAGGACCCACAGTTATGAAGCAGTACTCTACAGGGCTTTTTCTGTGATGGCATGTACATGCATATCTTCACATCACCTGTTAACATGCATTTCATGGGATTTCTTAAGCAAGGAATACTCAAGAAGTGGTTCTGCCAGTTCATGCACCTGAAATATAACCAACAGCACCATTCATTGATAGTTTGCCATCCAAGTATTAACCACAACTGGTTAGTTTCCAAGATCAGACAGAATCTGGTGCCTTTAGGGCATTTATTTTAGCAATTGTTTTTAATGTAATGTATTTTAATGTTTTAAATGTGTCTATGACTATGGAGCCCCCGGTGGCGCAGTGGGTTAAAGCACTGAGCTGCTGAGCTTGTTGATCGAAAGGTCGCAGGTTCGATTCTGGGGAGCGGCGTGAGCTTCCGCTGTCAGCCCTAGCTTCTGCCAACCTAGAAGTTCGAAAACATGCAAATGCGAGTAGATCAATAGGTACCGCTCCGGTGGGAAGGTAACGGCGCTCCATGCAGTCATGCCGGCCACATGACCTTGGAGGTGTCTACGGACAACGCTGGCTCTTCGGCTTAGAAATGGAGATGAGCATCACACCCCAGAGTCGGACATGACTGGACTTAATGTCAGGGGACTACCTTTACCTTTACCTATGACTATGGTTAGCACTCAAATGAGTGCTTGTTGTAAAGCTGCCCTGAGTCCCCCCCCCCCCCCCCCCGGGGGTGAGAAGGATGGGTACAAATATACAAAATAAATAAATATTGGTAATGTAGGATTTTAAATGTACGTTTTACACAGATTGTTAGCTACGGAACTGTGGTATACAAATTCGATAGATCGATTCATGAATGAATAAATATCAAAATTATCTGAAGAAGTCTCCTTTTCTTACTTAGAGAATGCTATTATTTTCCATCCATTAAACTCCATATTTTTTTAAAGCCTAAAGGTATGCAATATTATACCACCCCTTCAATTAGAGATTAAAAAGGGGCATAGAAGAAAATGTACGCTTTATATATACAATAAGGTTAAACTCTGGAACAATGAGGGAAAACAGTTTTGTGGTCAAATATTCAGACTTTAAGTGTTTTCTCATTTCAATTGCTCCAGAAAATTCTGTGACAGAGAAAACCTCCAAGATAGGATTTCCCAAACACTCTAAAATCATGACAAATCACATTTTATAAATAAATAAATAAGAATTCTGTCTGGGAGCAACTAGGGACTACACAGATCCTTGCCCATCCTTCTTAATGGATGATCAGCAGATGTGAGAGAACATGCTATGAATGCCACCCACATCTTGACATTCACCCACACCTTGTGGATGTGTTTAATTGTGCCACCTCTTCACAGAGAGCTTTCCAAATTTACCAGAATCAGTGTTGGAGGTATTTGGGGGACAGTCTTCTTTATTCTGTCTAACTTCTTTAATCAAATTCTTTGTAGCATCCATTTTATCAGCATGGTTTTTTTGCTCATCAGTATCCCCTAAAGACTGCTCAACATGGCAGTAGGCCTGATGCAAAGCTTCAATATCACTGTTAGTTTGTCCACAGGAAATACCTGACAAGAAAGATAAAAAAAGTTAATCAACATACAACAAGTTGTTTTTTTGTTTTTGTTTAAAAAAAAAACACTTTTAAAGAGACTAAAAATATAATTGAAAACAATATACTCAGAAGTATATTCCATATATATTGCAACCCTCTCTCAGGTAAGAGCAGCATTAGTCTATAATCTTATGCAAACATATCTGAGAGCAAACCTCACTAAATTCAAAAAAGGCTTCTTTCCCTGCCTAGGACTAAAGTGTAAGACTGTAATCGACAGCCATGATGTGGGTTGTCATCAATATCAATCAAATCTTTAGCCACTAATTAAATCTCAGAAAACTAGTGAGTACTAAGATGAGAAAAACAAAAACAAAACAAATCAATTATTTACTTTTATTTTTACTTTATTTTTTTGCCAAGAAAAAGCAGAATTTTCAAAACAGGACCTTGTTCTTGAGAAAATGTTAAACAATAATGGGATGAGTCAGCTACAATAAAGTCCACAAGTGTCTTTGATTTTAAATACTTGATTGTTTCCCAGTGAAATCAATGGGACCTCAAAGAGTTTAGATTTGGAGAGTGGGGCCCTGCATATTGATGTGATCAAAGGATGATTCCAAAGTGAAGAGGCCAGAGCAGACTAAGACAGATTGCTCTTGACTCATTTGCTTTCAGTATGGTGACCACATGAGGAAACAAGCAGTCAATAAAAACCAGGCTTACCTGTTCCACTCATATTCTCTGCAATGACTTCTTTAGGACGATGATGTTCTGTAAGTATGTTATCCTCATTTTCACTGTCCTTTTGAGTCTCCAGAGTTGAGTCTTGGGAATCAAGGAGGGCAACTAAAAAAAGATAAAGTCCATATTCTGGGAATTCCTTTATTAGGTTAACTAAAAAGGCACAACTATCTTTTTAAAAGCTTAGTAAGGTTAAATGTTTCCCCTAACATTAAGTCTATTTGAGTCTGACTCTGGGGGGTTAGTGCTCAGCTCCATTTCTAAGCTGAAGAGCCAGCATTGTCCATACCTTCAAGGTCATGTGGCCAGCATGACTGCATTGAGCACCATTACCTTCCCGCAGAAGTGGTAGCTATTGATCTACACACATTTGCATGTTTTTGAACTACTAGGTTGGCAGGAGCTGGGGCTAATAGCACTCCCCGGATTCTAACAGCTAACCTTTTGGTCAGCCAGTTCAGCAGTTTAACCAGCTGCGCCACCAAAGGCCTTACACAGAAGTTTTTGTGGCTCTTCTGTCAGCCTAATAGAGGGACTAGCACAACATGGTCAATGGGCCTCTGTGTTATGATCAACACAACAATCTCTACAGTTGTATGATCCTCACAGAACTATATTTCCTATATAAATACTGTAACAACTTCTGCTCTACCACTACCCAGAATACTACTTGCAAAATATCTGGTTCACCTGACAATTGTGGGATATGCTTAGGGTAATATGCTTAATTGCTGAAAAGTTCAGTAATAGGAAATATTAGAAAATTAAGTGTTACTATCATAAATGACTAGATGAGATTTCAACAGCAGAAAAGGTATTTCATGATAAATTAGACAGGAAATAAATAATAGATCATCTATAATAAATAATTCACTACTGAGCATTTGAGGAATTGAGTTTTACAACAGTGAGCAATATTATGACCCACCACTGAGAAGAAAGTCAGTTAACACAGTGAGATGTACTAGTTTTTGAGATACAGAACACATGACATCTACCAGTCATAAAGAATCATGACAACCATATATAAAAAACTACAACAGACATGGTCTACCCAATGTAGTGTTTTGAATCAGCACCCCAAATAACTCCAGGAACAGGCCTAAAAACCAAGACACCAAGATTTTTTTGTTGGGCTGTGCAATCCAATATAATGGACTGGGCCCTGTGGTAAACACTTCACACACAATAGAAAGGTATCTGGAAAACATCTCTGAGCAAAAGTTTCCATGAAGTCAGACAAGGTCTTTTCAAATATTTACATTTATGAATGGTTTTTAACTACTTTTCAGATGAATTTGATTACAACAAAACTGACATAAAAATGAAACTGTGTGTTATGCTTATAACATGGGTTTCTTTAAACATCTTTTGAATTTCATACCTTTAGCCAGCATGCCAATCTTTTCTTCCTAAAAAGTAAGAGAAATGCACGAACAGAGATGAGTTTGGAAAAAATGTAAAGTTTTTTTTTTACTGAAAAAGGAACCACTACATTTACTGGCAGAGGTACAAAGACCTGGAAACATATAGGTGCCCAGAAGCTGGACTGTAAATCCTAGCAATCCTAGGCAGAATAGCTAATAGTAAAGAAAGCTGTAGTTCTAGTGTATCATCTTCCATAAAGGCTACAATTTCCACCTCTGTTTTACATTATGTAATTTTTTACTTCTATAAACTAGATTAGAGCTAGAACATAACATTTACTGGGATAAAAATCACAACAGCAAACTTGATAACAGAAAATATAAAAAGCCAAAGTCCTGCTTGCAAATATAAGTAAACACATTTGAATCACTTGATGTTTCTTAAGAAAAAATACAAAGTTCTCAGAAAAAACAACAACAAAGTTCTGTTGTACTTTCTGATAATCACACAAAAAATGCCATGATCCAAAGGAATTAAATGGCTGTTCTTGACTTGAGCTCCTGCAGCCAAATTATATTCTGATTGCTTTTAGTGGAGTGAATCAAGTTATCTACACAATAATTTCAAATGAATAATGTGGCTCATATTTGGGGTGGGGGTGGGAAGACAATACTCCTTGCATACACAGGAAGCATCTATGTATATTATAATACAGATGCAAGTTTGGGTCACAGAAAATGATGTGAATGTAAATAAAAATAAGATCTTACATTTAGCTATAAATGCTTTAAAGATCAATATTTTAATACCCGACTTCCAGGTCTTCTATTACCAAGAAACGTCAAACAACCATCCCTCAATCCTGCAGTCAGCAATGGACAACTGCCTGGTTGACTGGGCATTTGTCAGATTGAAGAAAATTATAGAAAAGAATTTCCCTCCAGATGACACAGCTGTCACTACCACAACTGTTCAAGATGGATCTATTATTGACACTGGATAACAGCTTGTTTAATTAATGGGAAAGGAGAGGTGGGATAAAAGACTGAAGAAGCATTGTTAAGATTGAGAAGAGCGTTATGCTAAATTAAAATTAGATTGTTTGAATTGCTTAATCCCCTTTTGCGATTTATGCTGAAAACCATAAACACAGATATTTCTCTGAAAAGTTTAACAATTTGTCTTATGATAAAATAATTTAACTGCATCACTTTGGTAATTTAAAAACCTTTCACTATTTTTTAAATTACAATATCACTAAGCTACTCAGCAAATTCCAAACAGAATGGCAGGATATGAAATGGTATCTACAGATATTTTTGTCCCAGTCCTAGCTGGATATCTAACAAAATATTCATAAATTATATCTGTAGTGCAGGCATGGGCAAACTTTGGCCCTCCAGGTGTTTTGGACATCAACTCTCACAATTCCTAGCAGCCTACCTGAAGGGCCAAAGTTTGTCCATGCCTGCTGTAGCGGTTGCCCCAATTCTGTCTTTGGCGTCCTTATGCAAGCATTCACTGAGGCTGCAATTATATATACATTTCCCTGGCAGGAGATCCCACTGAAAACGACAGATTTCTGTGTAAATACACTTAAGACTGCACCCTAACCTTCTGTGCAAGTTCTTAGTTGGATGCAGGTTACTTTATTTACATACTAACAAATACATAATACTAGCTCAAAAGGCTTACATTTGATTCTGGCATAACAGGTTGTTTAACGTTACTGTCCTGGTTAGATTCTGAATCATCTTCAAAATCCTCACTGTAGTCACCTGGAGTATTTGAAACAAGGCATGCAGTTAATTTTTTTGTCAGAAACAGGCAGGAATGACAACACTATTTCCAGTACAAAGAGATGGAAACAAATCAGACCGATTGGCTGAGAAATCGGGCCAACCATACCATTATGAAAAGCAGCTTCATGTACTTCTGAAGCTGCTTCAGAAGTAGATGAAGCTACAGCGTCAGGTGTAGTGTCATAAAAAATAAAAACTTTTACCAGATTTTTCATGATTCTTGGGTTCATCTTCATTTTCTTCTTGGTTCACTATTGGATGATGTCTGCAAATATGATAGTGTTATCTGTTACAACATGTATTCTAATCATTATTAGAATTAAGAAATATTTCTTAATCCTCCTCTTTTCTAGCAATTAAACACATGGCTTTCTAAAACTAATTTTAACAATACCAAATTGAGACAACATAATAGTAATAAAACCTCCACAAAATTATTTCATGTTTTGAAAAACTCACCTCCACAGACAAAATAATGGAGATTGAAAGATGTGGTGTTTATTATAGTGTCACCTAAGATTGCTGAATTCTAGGCAACATGAACATTTTTAACAAGGTACCATATATACTTGAGTATAAGCTGAATTTTCAGTACCTTTTTGGGCTGAAAAAGCCCCCTCGACTTGTACTCAAGTCAAAGTTATTTATTATTTTGTTGTTATTACTATTATGTTTATTACGCTTATTGTTTTACTCTATTTATTAATAATAATAATAATATTACATTATTTTACACTATTATTTTTATTACATTTATTATTTAACTCTATTTATTATAATTATTATATTTATTTTTCTCTATTATTATTACTGTTATTATTTTACTCTATTATTATTGTTATTGCATTTATTATTTTACTTTCATTATTATTATTACATTTATTACATGACTATTATTATTTCACTCTATTATTACTGTTATTATTACATTTCCATTATTTTTACTCTATTATTATTATTATTATTATTATTATTATTACATTTATTATTTTACTCTATTATTATTGGAAGGATACATAAGCACATTAACACTGAAAGAAGTTAGAATAATAGTTTAATCAGAGTTGGACAGTCTTATCTTAAATTACAGTTGTATATAAATATTCAAAAACATTTAACCTATTGATGCCTCAATTAATGTAATTTTATTGGTATCTATTTTTATTTTGAAATTTACCAGTAACTGATGCATTTTCACTCTCGGCTTATACTCAAATCAACTTTCCAGTTTTTTTGTGGTAAATTTAGGTGCCTCGGCTTATACGTGTTTTCAGGTTGGCTTATACTCGAGTATATACGGTGAGTAGAATTGTAATTTACATATTTTTTATTGTACCGTTATATAAACTTAAGAATTTTGCATTTTACTATCACTACTGGTATGTTATTTTACCGAATAAATGCCTGTAACGCTTCGGAATCATTGGAGTCCAACTCCTTATTCAATCTCGAATAGTCAATGGTAGAGGATGCTCCTTTCTCAAGGTCAGCAAAAAATCGCTCCTTTTCCTCTTGCTCCTCCAAAGTGTCCAGTCCAACTCCCAAAACATTCTCCTTAGGCCCTGAAGCAACAACTGAACCTAAATAGTAAAAGCATCCAAATGCAGTGAAAATCAGTACTGTAATATGTATCTACTTTGGAATTAATTATAAGGCAATACTGTTTGTATGCCTCCATATTCTTTGTTAAATGGCTTAGTCCGTGTTATTTGAAGAGCCACATCTGCCTTGATGAACCTCTTAGACCTCTACATTTATCTGGGAAAGTCCTACTCAATACCCCACTACCTTCTCAAGCTCATTTGGTGGAAACAAGGGAAAGGGGGGGGGGGTTCTTGGTGCTTCTCCAGACTTTGGGAGGCCAGATCAGTCCCTTTCTCCCTCTCCTTCTGTCTGTATCAAAATATTTATATGCCATCAGACTAAAAACTGACTTGGATGGAATTGTTTTAAAAAAATTTATATGCTCTTTAAGTGAATGTTAATGTTTTTTAATGTTTGAATTTTCTAAATAGTTTAATTGCTACTTTATAGTTTTCATCTGGGTTGTTTTTACATGTGTTGTTAGACACCTTGAATCCCACTGTTGGGAGGAAGATGTGATATAAACGAATAAAAGAAGTACATTTAGCAGTGGTTCCCTATCTTGGGTCCTCCAGTTGTTTTGAACTTCAACTCCCAGAAATCCAGACAGCTTAACAGCTGTTAAGAATTGTGGGAGCTGAGGTCCAGAATACCTGGAGGACCAAAGGTTGGGAACCACTGAAAGAAAACCAGAAAGTGAAGATCTATCAATGCCCGAATGCATGACTGAACCTTAAACATACACTCCATACCCAAGATTAATGAGCAATAAGATGCACAGATACATCTTTTGTATATGTCTTCTATTTCCATTTATCTCAGTGGAAGACTTCAATAAAAGACTTCACGTCAGCAAAAGCCCATAGTCATTCCCTTGACCGGAACTAACAAGAAAGATGTTCTGCATAGTATGCAAACTAAAATACATATGATTAGAAAAAACAGATGGGCTGAGAGAATTTTGTAATGGAGCGATCAGGAAAAATGACTGTTATAATCACTCTGTGTTTTTCTTTTTTAAAAAAAAATCAGTCATTCTCAATCTTTGTAACTTAATCATGCCATGTAAGGAAAAATATAGTGGGTTGAAGGATTTTTTTCAGGAACTTTTACCATTAGTTTCTAGGCTATCTCTGCTTAAAGAGGCTGAAACACCACTAGGTTGACCTGGCTGAATGCCTTCCACATGATCTTCATCCATTTCCACAATAGAATGAGAAAGCCTTCGCGACTTCAGGAAACTGCCACTTGCTCCATGCTTTCCTAAAAACACAGAAGAATAAGAAATAAAGTATTGTTACCAAAAACTATATTCAGCACATACTAACATAAATAGATGACAGACAGATGAAATGACACAGGAACCATAAGAGTACTTCACTATCAATAATGGTTTATATATTCCTGGGCTCAGAAAATGCCACATGAGGGGATTCAGCATAACAAAGAAATCAAGACCCCTTAAATGCATCTGAAGAAGCTAATCTTTGCTTGAAAATGCCAAGTTCTCCTGTACACCTGTAAAGGAACCTGGCAACCACTTTTCAGATTGATGGTAAATATGACATACACCCAAGTTACTGAAAGCTCTCATTTGTTGATTGATAATTAGATATCCTTAATCTGAAAGCTAAAATATTCATAATCAGAGAGCGAGATATCCTAGGTTTTATAGCGGCAGGCCTACCCAGTCAACTTTAAACCACGAATTTTAAATTTGCATTCAATCATCATTGCATTTTAATCTTTGTACTACATATTTTAATATTTGTATTTTATACAAATGTGTTTTAATACATGCATTTTATTATATGTATTTTATGGTGATGTGTTTTAACTGTGATGTGTCACACCTCGAGCCATGAGGAGAGGCCGATAACAAATAAACATGATGATGATGATGATTTTTATTATTAATAAAATGGTTGAAAGATTAATAAGTAGCATAGTTGGTATAATGAAAAAGAAGAAATAGTCCTAATTACATAACTAAGCCCAAACAATGGTATTTTGATTCTAAATCAGGCATGGGCAAACTTTCTAACTTGGGGGCCGAATGGCAGGCCAGGAAGAAGGGGGTTCTCCCTAAGTCTCCTCCCTGCCCTTTCATCCTCTTCCTCTCCTGTTTTGTAGGCAGAAAGTGAAGAAAAGATGAGAAATGTTTGGATCCCAAAAGCGTTTGCCTTGGTCTGGATAGGATAGTGGATGGGAGAGAAAAAGTGTATCCATTAGACCCCATACTCCTGATATAGAATCATAGAGCTGGAAGACACCTCCAAGGACCATCCAGTTCAACCCCCTGCAATGTAAGAAGGCACAATCAAAGCACTCCTTATAGAAAGCCTCAGCAGAATAGTCTCCAGAGATGGAGACTCCACCATACACCGAGACAGCCTATGCCAATCTCCAACAGTTCTTAATCTCAGGAAGTTTTTCCTAATATTTTTAGTCGAATTTCTTTCCCTGCCATGTGAAACCGCTGCTCCCTTATGCCCTCGTCTCTAGAGCAGCAGAAAATCAGCCCCCCTCCCCCCACCGCCTCCTCAATAAGACACCCTTTTAACTCTTGAAACATGGTTCTCATGTTCCCTCTCTACCTTCTCTTCCCCCAGCTAAAAATCCCTCAGGAGGAAAGGAGGAAGGAAAAAGAGAAGCAAGGAAGAAAGGGGGAAAGAAAGGTAGAAAGAGAAGGATGGAAGGAAGGAAGGGAATGGAGGGAGGGAGGTGAGGAAGGAAAGAGAGAAGGAAGGAAAGACAAAATGGAAGGAAGGAAGGAAGGAAGGAAGGAAGGAAGAAGGAAAAAAGGGGAAGGTGGAAAGAGGGAAGGAAGGATGAAAGCATGGAAGAGAAGGAAGGGGGGGCGGAGAGAAGGAGGGAGGCAAGGAAAGCAGGGAGGGAAGAGGAAAGAAAGAGCAAAGGAAGGAAGGATAGTGAGAAAGAGGATGGTGCGAGAAAAGAGCCCAAGGGGCCGCATCTGCCCCCGCCACCTGGCCTGGGTTTACTAATGCCTGTTCTATATCATGGTAGTAAAAAACCAACAAAGTTCATTTAGTAGAAATAATTTGTGTCTGTGAACATTGAAAAACCTCAGATCAAAACAGTCTCATGAAGAAACCAAAGTAGATTTGTTACCCTCAGCATGTTGAAGTTTGTCAGAAACAGCCAATTCTTCTTTGTTTAAGCACACACTTTTCTTTGCTTTTAGTGATTTTTCCAACATTTTGTATTTAGCCAATGCCTTGCTGCAAGATTCACTTGAAAAGGGTTTAGGACTAACTACTCTAACTACACACAATACAACAAGTGTTTACAAGAGGGTTAGGGGTAAAAAAAAAAAAGAAAAGTAACAATTTTATCAAACTCAAGAATGACTCAGTATATCTTTATTCTCGCACTGCTGGTTTAACTACATCACACATAAGCTAACTCCTTTAAAAATCATGACTACCCTTGCTTGGGAAAAAATACACAACATATTCTTTATTTCACATCTTTCAATTAGTATTTTGCATGTTAAGTTGATTTGAAAAGGAATTCAATGGGTCAAAGTAAAAATAAAAGTACTATTTGTAGTGAAATTTAACTGTGAAAATGGACAATATTAAAAATATTTAATTGGCCTGCTATGCTATATATTACACTGCATATTACCACTCAAGCATGAATAGACCAATGATGATTTCTGTAAAACATTTCCAGATCTTAAAAGATTTTTAAGTGACTGGAATCAGAATGCAAAGGTTTAAATGTAAATCCTAGTCCTAACTACAAAAGATCCAGAGAATCAATACTAAGACAACAGAAATTCCAGAAACAGAATCATAGTTCTCCCACCTCTAGCACTGAGACCGTATATAGGGTAGGGTTTTATAAACTTTATAATCTCATAAAAAGCAAACATTGTAAATTACACAAATTGTGACACAACCGTCTGTACAATCAATTAAACATACTGCAGGGGAAAAGCAATAACACGAATTCTCTGCCTGTGATTTTCCAGTGCACTGCAGTAGGCCGTCGCAATACCCCATTCTCTATGTACATTTGTATTTTGCTGTGCTCAGATGCAATACTAAATGATGCCCCCACCCCCACCCCAAAACATGCCAGTATCAGAAGAGACAGGACCAGGCTAGGCTTGCGCCATTCCTGTCCCTAATGAAGTACTGCACTAAAAGGAGAATTCTGTTACACAGAATAAATAGTAAAAAAATAGTATAAAATGGCATAGAAGAATCTTGTAGGATCTGTGAAACTAACTAGAAAGAAAAAATGTCTAGTATACACATTTGTAAACACAGTCCAATTCAACAGATTCACATATGATTAAGCAGATTGTGTCCAAACAGGGATGTGCCAAAAACATTTTCTTCCCAGTTATCCTCAAAGAATCAACTGATTTCCTCTATGTCCTTTTATATTAAAATGGGCTGACACAGCTATCTCTTTCAAGTCTATTGCTGAGCAGGGTTGCCTCATTCCTTGGAAAAACAGAAGCTGTTTGACAGTGAGTCAAACCATGGTCCACATTTTACTCTTACTCAAGATGAGAAATATATTCTGAGTAGGTCATCTTGAGTAAGAGTAACCATGAAAAGAGGTCTAGATATACACAAATAAATAAATAAATAAATATTCTATTGGCAGTGAGCACTGGTTTCAGACAGTCATTTTTCACATGACAATGCTCATAATGAACCTGAGACCTGGTCTGTGCAAGGAGAGCCATCTGTTCTGACCAAGTCACTTCAGGGAGTGTGTGTTCTCCAATTACTTTTAGTACTACCTCACTTAATTAAAGCCATCTTTATTTGAGCAGGAAAAAATGTTATCAAGCAAAGGAAAAGCACTATAAATGGAAAGCAATCAATTTTGACTTGTACCACAGTACAACTAAGACTACACTGATATCTACAAAGAAGAGTTTTAATCTAGTACCAGGCTGGTTATGTGAAAGTGGGATCTTCTCTTCACCATCTTCAGTCAATTCATCTTTATCCTCTATAGGCTTCTTCTCATCACTTTGTTTGATAAACTTATTTGTCTTAGGAACTTGGGAAATCAAAGAAGGATATAATATAAAAAAAATTGCAGAAGTGACCAAAAGCAAAACAAAACAAAACAAAGACATTGAAAATAATAATGAAAGAGGGGGGAAATCTTTTGTCAGTGGGCAGAGGAAAATGGGGCTAGTGAGGAATTTTCATGGATTACCATCTACTTCCTGATATTCATGGAAGTTTATCCTAAAATAAATAAATTAATCTCAAAGATGCTACTGGATTCCTGCATCCCCTTTCCTTGATGTACTAAAACAGACTAACATGGCTGTCTCTTTGAGAGCCTGATTGTGATAGATTTGACTTATTTTCATTTAAACTGTGAGAGTTTGAGATTACTTCAGTTGTCATTTAATAATTCACTTCCAAAATCAAAATGTATTTTAGACTAGCAGATTTGTACCAAGAGTTGTTTAAAGATGTTGCCCCTGGCAGAGAATGAAGCATGCTAATTTTTCTTTAAAAATAAATAAAATAAATGTTATTATTTAAACACAAAGGACAGTGATATATATTTACAACAGAGCATGCAACATACAGAGACAGTAGCAAACACAATAGACAATACATTCCCTCCATCCCCACACCTGTGAACCCACCACCATGGACTTCCATCCCTGCTCACTATGATATCTATACATTATAATAACTACCCCTATAAGTTCCTTAAACAGTTCCCCTCGCAGCATCCTTGAAATCAGCTTTTGCCTTCTTTCCAAGATATGCAAAGGCCAACCACCATTTGTTTATACAGTCTTTATTAATTTTACCTCAAGTCCATTAGACAGCTTGGTCATTTGTATGTAATCTATTAATTTTTCTCTCCAATCTCTTTTGAGTAGTTCTCTTTTTCCCTTCCATTTTTTTGCTATGACAATTCTTGCTGCTAAAAGCTATATTGGCAGATTTCTTTATCTTCCTGGTTAATATCCTCTCTGAACAGACCTAGAAAGCACATTGCTGGGCTTTTCTTGACCATATTGGTGAGCAGAACATGCCAGTTTAAATAGATATTCTCTTCTTCTACGGTCCTGTTTCCACAAAAAAATTACTTCCTCCACAAATGTTTGGGGAGTGGCATAGGGAATTGCAGGGAGAGCAGGAGGTAATAAATATCTACCCTCACCTAACTCCTTTTTGGATTAAAGAGCCTAGCATGAAAGAAATAACCCCGTCGGCAGCACATCTAAATCAAGTCAAAAGAAGCTAAGACAGCCATTGCACAACTAAAGCCCTCAAATCGTTATGTGTGTGTAATAACATTCACTTTCTAATAATCTGGGAAAACTTCACACCCCTTGTTCCAAACTTACAGCCATGTGAGGTAAAAGAGCAAACTAAGCAATCATAAAAATTGTGTTCCGCTATTTTTTATACTATCCTATGCTATTTCAGTTCCCAATGACTATGTAAATCAAATAATTTGTATTTTAAGAACAACATTTGCAAAACTGAACATGGCTTTTTTCTACTAACTTTTTGTTAATAGTATAGGCTGCTGTCATTCTACTGGTTTAGAAAAAACTGCTGTAAACGTGAAAGGCTTTGACTGACATCTTGTGGCCATACAAAACAAAGACAGTGGAACAGAATGAAATTCATTACCATCATCCGAATCATCCTCAGATATCCACCATGGCAAGGGCTGTTTCTTCTTAGTTGGCCCAATAGCTTCGGGAATACTGGATATTTTCTTTGGTTCATTTCCCAATGAATCATCTGAAAGAGACTACATCAGAAGCAGAATCACTCATTCTGTTAGTTATTTTTTATTGGCTCCCTTCAAAAAGTACACAATCCAGTCAATGTTAAATATATTAAAGCCTAAATGACCCCAAAGAAGAATCAAGCATGCACTTAAAACTCAACAGCAACAAGTCTTTCCCAATATACCAGTACACCTTTGAGACAAAATGCGACATTTATTTCATATTCTAATCTGTTTCTTTCTTTTTTGACCAAATATTCTTTTATGATCATGTTTAATCTTCATTACTGCCATTTTCAGCAACTCAGAAGGAAATCTTGAACTCTTCTAAAATTATTTTAATTTATGGTTTATGTTTTGAGTTATATTTAATATATTTTGTGTTCTATGTCTCTTGTTATTTTCTGTTCTATTTATCATTTGTCTTGATTTTAATGTATTATGTGCTTATTATTATTTTGTATTGTTTTGCCTTGCTTTAAGCCGCTTTGAGTCCCCTAGGGAAGAGGAATGGGATGCAAATAAAGTTTATTATTCTATGGAACAAATAGATAGCACTATTCTGGAGGGAAGTAGTAATGGGGATGAAATGTATTTCCTTCGTACAAACTTAACAGGATGAGCAACTGGGTCTGTGAGTTGCCACCCCTCATTTTAAAAGTTGTTTTTACAAGGGTCCTTCAAGGGTCCAGAGAAGGAATATTTTATTGGCTTTCTTCACTACAGAAATGTAGTCCAGGAGAGGTCCTTTTCAAAAAGCCCTCCATGTCTAAAATGACTGGAGAATGTGACCTGGTAAAGTTTTCCCCAAAGAAGGTACTCTTGTCAATAAACATAATACAAATGGATGTACATTCTAAGGATGAGATGAACAAATAATGTTATTCAAACCTACCCAACTAGACCACTGTATGATAGTTGCCATTATTACCTCAACAGCATATTGATAAAGTTAATCCTTAGATTTTTAACTTCTAGGGACCTACCAAAAGTCAAGCTCCAAACAGAAACCTTCCTCCCACCTCCCACCTCTTTAAAATAAACAAAGGCATACAAGTTATTAAATCAAACTTACAATCAGTTGTTCATGTGGATTAATTAAGAATACACTTTGGATAAATAGGTAGCAGAGCAATTGTAACAGGAGAGAAAACCCTGTTATAGGTTTGCCTTAGGGTCACCAGGGGCAAACCAAGAATGGGAAACCCTGAACAGACTCAGAAGTGGAGTGGGCAGAGAAAAATGCAACATGGCAAAAATGGCACTATCTACAAGAATCCTCCACCTTGTGCAACCGTATAGCAGAATAAATAACTCCGCATCTGTATGCTTGTCCATTGCCTCACACATACAGAAAGACTTGTTTAAAGATACAATGAGGTCATTGTTGCCTGTTTTTGGTCTAAAATTACTTAGCCACTTGCGCTCCCTCTATTTTATCAGTTTTATACTTATTTATGAAATGCTTTTGAAATGAAATAAAGGGTCACCATAAGTCAGAAATGACTTGAAGGCGCGAACACACACACAGAAAACACCACAGATTTTGTGGAACTGTCTGTAGGACAGCTGTCAGCTTTGTTGTACAAGTTCTATCTAAATCCATATGTTAAGATCCAATGAAATATTCAAGGTCTAAACACTCTAAAGCAGGCATCCTCAAACTGTGGCCCTCCAGCTGTTTGTGCCTTCAACTCCCAGAATTCCTGACAATTGAACAAGCTCGTTAGGGCTTCTGGGAGTTGGAGGCCCAAACAGCTGGAAGGCCGCAGTTTGAGGATGCCTGCTCTAAAGCCACCAAATCCCATTCAATCATAGAAGCTGATTGGATAGGAGACCACCGATAAATACCAGTTGCTGTAAGCTATATTTCTGGGGACGGAGCTGGAAAAAATATCTCTGAGTTTTCCTTCCCTAAGAAAAGTGGAATTCAGGAATGGCAACAGATCTGGAGAAAGAAAATGAAATATACATACTCGGTAGCATTAAAGGAGAACTGGTTGAAGACCTTCCATAGGTGGTATATGACCCCTCATAAGCTGAGTTTAATGTATAGAAAATATCCAAATGTATGCTGGAAATGTAAAAAACAAACAGGAACCTATTTCCACATGTGGTGGAYGTGCCCAGAAACTTCSAAATACTGGYGGGYRATACAAGAAGAAACYGAAAAMATCSTAARAAGAAAGATTCCACGCAATCCAGAGTACTTCATCCTAGGCCTTACAGATAAYGAATTAAWTCTAAATAATAATGAGGACGTCCTGWTCACATATATAATYACTGCAGCACGTATAATATTTGCGAAACACTGGAAGGAGGAGCAGATCCCAACTGTAGATCAATGGTTAGAAAAACTATTAGATATAAGGGATATGGATAAATTGACATATCTCCTGAGGAACAGCTCTGGTAGTCCAGTGAAACAAACAGACTGGACATGTTTGGAGGATTATGAGAAGAGTAAAATTGAYAGATTATAAGAAAAMTAAATAAMTAACTAACTAACTAAATAMATAAATAAAATCTGAAAAGGGGAGAGTCACATATGGCAGAAAAAGAAATGGAAGGATCCAAAATTAACCAGGGGTCTCTCCCTGAMGTTAAGGAAAATTAGAAGACACAGTTTTATGACCATTTGGAAACAAAAAGGAAGTCTTTTTTTAACCTGTTTTGTCTTATATGCAAGTGTGTAGGGGTGATAGTCAGTGTAGTGTGTAGAGGTATGTAATGTCCTGGTGTATATGTGATACCTGTTGAAATTGTACCCTCACCCCCCTCCCCTCCCCCTCTCCTCCCGTCTTTTTAATGTATTTTGAAAACTTAATAAAGATCATTAAAAAAAAAGAAAAAAGAAAAGTGCATTATATTAATGAAGCTGCCATAAAATGACGAGTGTTTGAAGGCATACACAGAATACACATTCATTTTTCATACCCTGAAACAACTTCCATATAGGAAATAACTATGTAGCTCATCATACATATGAGCAGGAAGCTGAAAATAGTGAAATATGTAAATCTATACTGTTATATACTCAAACTGATATATTATCATTTTCAAAACCATACTTTGTTATGTTATCCAAATAATTAACATTAACGAACTATGGTTATGAAGTGTCAGCACTTTAAATTGTAATCTGAAATAATGTTGATGAATTGTCAACATCTTAAACCACAACCTGATGTTAAGTCTTGCTAGATATATTCAAACAAAATGGACAAAACATTTTATTTCTCTATCTGGTGGCTGTCTGGAATAGTATTCACATATAATGCTATTCCTGTAAAGTTGCATAAACCATGGGTTGCCCAGAAATCTGGAAACAAAGTCATGGTTTGGAGTCAAAGCTATACTAGGCTGTGTAGACTACGGCTTTATGTCTGAGACAACTCATAAAAAGCTACATGCACAATGCTTACTTTTCCTAGACTTTCTGTTGAAACAGAACCTATGAAGCCGCCCTTAAACAAGTGGTAGACAAAATAACCATATATTGTATATTTTACTCTTTCAAGCTATTGTACTACCTAGAGAAAACTGAGTTACATTTTTAATATAAGTTTAATGCATAGCATATAAATAACAGTCAAAGTTAAGTTCTATTTTTAAGGCAGACTACAAATATTAATGCAACACCAATGCCCCAAAACAACTGGGCTGGGAGCTACTGACAGGTGTTTGATGCAAGTTCTGTTCTCACTTGCTATTTCTTTTGTAACTAACTGCATCTCTGTTCGGCAAGTGGGACCTGGATGATGCTTACGGTCCTCAGAGTATTGTAATTGAGGAAACTGAAACCTCCCCAGATGCCGAGCCTGAGATCTGGAAATCTTCTATATCCAGCCATCTTGTCAACTTCAAATAGTAAAGTAACAGCTGGGAAAGGAAACACTCATAGAAAAATTGCCATTACAGGCCCCTGATATATCAATTGTCTGATCACTACCATAAAAAATACTGAAAATGAAAAGAATCGCTGTGTCTTCTTAACTGTATCTTTTCAGTGCTGGTTTGACGAACAAGAGAACTATATATGGCTTTGCAAAAACATCACCAAAAAAAAAAAACAACGGTTGACTATAGTCAGATATATGTTCAAGCAACATTGCTTCTTATTGGTACATTAATAATACTACATACAATAAAACACGTTAAAACCAATATGCTATATTAATTAAATCTGCTTCTTTCATTAATGATGTGCACCATTAAGAATTTCTGAGCCATGTCCAACAATGATGTGGTGAGGATGAAACACTATGTCATCACCACTGTATGTACTTTACAGTAGAACATAAAATGTAAACTGGAAAATGTATACTCTTTCACAAAGGCTAGCTGCATTAATCTCCATGAAACATTAATATTTCATGGAAATATCTGCAGAACACTTGAAGAGATGATGGGACCCTTATTTGGCCCATTATATAGACACTGACTTTTCCATTTAGACATAAAGCAATATACAGGCAGTCCCCAAGTTGCAAACATCTGACTTACAAACGACTCACAGTTAAGAACAGGAGTGAGACAACAGAAAGTGAGGAAAATCTACCCCTCAGAAAAGAAGTCCACTCCTGAAAGAGTTATCATGGGGGAATAAGGTCTGCACTGAAGCTTTCACACCAATCCTTGTTTCCACAACAAGCCATTTTCTTCAAAATCCAATTATGACACGGACAGAAAGTGAGGTGAAATCTTCTGAACAAGGGGAACAGACAACAAAACAAACACCACAAGGGTGTTAGCTCTTCTCTGTGCAATCCAAAGCTTATATATATAGCTGGAGTTACACTTTAAAAATTAACCTGTTTCAACTTACATACAAATTGAACTTAAGAACAAACCTACAGAACTTGTAACTTGGGGACTGCCTCCACACACAATAAAAACACAATTTACCTCTTTCAAAAATTGTTCAAACTGTTCATCTAAGTCTTCTTTTGAAAATCTGTGGGCCATGGTCAGTCACTGGGTCTGAAAACTTCTAAATTACTAAAATAACAAGAAAACAGTAAAGGAAAAGCAACTAATTATTATGTGATTTTTCTAGTCGTTACTCTCTAATACACTTTTTGAATACATTGTTCAACACAAAGCTTCTGAAACACTAGAGAGATAGTAACAAAGAGAGAGCAAGAGAGAGTCTGGACTATGGATAGCCATTTTGCTTACTTACTGAAGATTTCAACGTTTAAAGTGAGATTTAGAATATTCAGCCTTCACGAAGGCTTGAATAAAGTCCATGTTATGCCCTTCTTTTCAATTTCTGAAGCAGTTATAGCCAGATCCACACCTTTAAAATAAATGCTCTAGATTGTAAATTCCTTAGGATGCAAACATGCATTTTGTTTAAATTATTTTGTGAACATATATGTTGATGGCAAAAAAGGGAGTAGTTAAGAAACCACCCACTTCAATCAACACCATGGAAATAATTTTTAGATTAGTACCATATTTTACAATATTTGTTTGGATATGTACCTCATACTTTCCAATATGTTTTTGCACATATATGTAAATCGTGAAAATACTGCATACTACTGAGTTACAGCAGCTTTTATTACTACATATGTAGATGTATTGACACACATATTTCTCAGTCTGTTCCTCAGCTAATACAAATGGATAGATAGCTAAAACTACTTTTAAAGTGTGCTATATTAATAAAAAGTAAATGAATGATTCCCCATATCAGTCTACAATATATTTTAAAACACTTTTAATCTGACAAATGCCTATACAAAACATTCTACAAAACATTTTTTGCAACTTATTACCAAGAACAATGTCCATGTCCTCTTGTTCATCTGGAACTGACACAAGATACTGATAGCACATTATACAGCAACAGGAAATAGTGCAAAGAACTGAATTAATTAAGATATTGTTATGTAAGCTCATGGAAAAAGTCTCAGAAAACATGGTAAGAAGATTATACGTCACCTCTCATGACACGTAATCCAATCTGCCTTTTAGTACGTAAAATACTGTTGTATTCCTTTACTGACAATATATACAAATGTAGACAACAAGAAAACTCTAGTTTGTTTTTTGCTTTTAAAAAAGGTTACATTGAACTTTGTTCATAATATGTCTGTATGCCTGGTGCAAATACCAGATGCACATTTGACAGAAAATCTATAAAGTTGTACTTCTATTTTGAACTAAAAGCCTGAACCTTGCAGTCTGACTGAAATCAGTAAGATCAAGTCTTTTAAATGGGTGGGTCTGGTCCTAAGCAGACCTGCATATAGATTTATTATTGGGAAATACAGGTTATAAGAATTGTCTTAATTAATCAGATCAAACCAACAAGTCAAGCATTTTGTTTCTAACACTGGCAATCAGAACCTATTACCAAATGTATTGGACTTCGGGGTCATCTCCTGTCCTTTCCCCATGACATCTAACATTTCTGGAATCTATTAATTATCCTGACTAACAGCTCTTGATCAATCTACATATCATGAAATGTTTCATTTTTTTTTTAAAGCTAGTAATCGACATACTTTGGTAATGAATTTCAAAGATAAGTATGGGAAACTTGATATAGATGGATTGCAAACTGCACCATCCTTTAGAGGGCCATAAGATGCTAAGAGACATCGTAGTGGCTTGAATGTTGAACGATGACTTTGTCAACCTGGGTGATCCTGGGCAAGTCATACTCTCAGTTCCACTACCATCACAAGTATAGTTGGGGAAGACAGGAGAGAGGGCCTTCTTTTTATGTGGCTGCCCAATGACTCTGCCATAAGGAAGTCGCAATGCCCCACTCCCTGCTGTCCTTCCGGTGTCATGCCAGAACCTTTTTATCCAGGCAAGCTTTTAAAGAACGTTTTCTAAGAACTGGCTAGGGGGTGCCAGTCCCAGAGAGCTTTTATTCAGATCAAAATTGTTAAAATATTGTAATTAGGGAGTTGTAGTTGACCCTTATACAGAAAGCACTGTACCCAGCTTACATCAGATCTGCACCAAACTTGGCACACAGACCCAACACAGCCAACTGAGCATACAGGTGGGGTTGGGGGTGATTGACCTAGAACCAGGGAGTTGTAGTTTACCCTGATTCAGAGCACTGAACCCAGCCGACTTCGGATCTGAACCAAACGTGGCACACACACCCAACATGGTCTACTGTGCATACAGACAGGGTTTGGGGGTGATTAATCTTGGCTCTGGGAGTTGTAGTTCACCCTTATCCAGAGGGCACTGAACCCAGCCAATGACAGATCTGGGCCAAACTTTGCACACAGACTCAACATGGACAACTTGCACACTGGCAGCTGTGGACAAGTATACATAGGGACCACCAAACGCAGCGCCCAAACACGAATCAAAGGCACTGCAGACTACTTCAACCAGAGAAGTCAGCCATAGCAGAGCACCTGATGAACCAACCTGGACACAGCATATTATTTGAGAACACAGAAATGCTGGACCACTCTCACAACCACCATGTCAGACTACACAGAGAAGCCATTGAAATCCACAAGCATGTAGACAATTTAAACAGAAAGGAGGAAATCATGAAAATGAACAAAATCTGGCTACCAGTATTAAAAAACTCTAAAATTACAACAGCAAAACAACAGAGAGTAACAATCTGGGACATCTAATCACCTCTCAACAAAAGATTGCCCCAGGCACTTCCAGGCCATCAAATGCTAATCAAGGTGGTCAGTTGAAACATTCACATCTAGCTCCAGCAGACAAGAGTCCTTTGTCCCATCCTGGTCATTCCACAGATATATAAACCTTTTTTCCTAGTTCCAACAGACCTCACTACCTCTGAGGATACTTGCCACAGATGAAGGCGAAATGTCAGGAGAGAATGCATCTAGAACATGGCCATATAGCCCGAAAAAACCTACAACAACCCAGTGATTCCGGCCATGAAAGCCTTCGACAATACAAGGTTGGGGGTGATTGCCCTGGGAATCTGGGCATTATAGTTCACCTTTATCCAGAGCGCATTAAACCCATCCAATGATGGATCTGGACCAAACTTCGCATACAGACCTAACATGGCCAACTGTACATACTGGCAGGGTTTTGGGGTCATTGCCCTGGGAATCTGGGAATTGTAGTTCGCCCACATCGAGAATACTGAACCTAGCCCACGAGGGATCTGGACAAAACTTGGCACACAGACACATGTCCAACTGTGAACACAGGCAGGGGTCCTGAGGGTGATTGACCCACGATCTTGGGTATTGCAGTTCACCCATAGTTCACAATTTCTAATGGGAGCATTCTTGCAAAACCAAACCAAAGACTGGTGTTTTATAATAAATAGTGTTTCGGATTACCTAAGTGATATTACCTAACATCCAAAAACAAACAATGCCTTCTTCTAATAACCCAAGCACTGCCGGGTCCCCAAGCTAGTGCGCGTGCGTGTATAATTTGTGCACAGAGTTGCTCTGGCGTGTCTGCAAGTGTTTTCTGACTAATACTGTAATATAATAATTTGAAATGCATGTTTTTTTTAAGTCCCGATGAAAAGTTGGAACTAGTTTTGTACTTTTTGTATGTTTTTAATTGTTCTTTTAAAAATATTGTGCCCTTTTTGAGTCCCAAACTCAGGAAAGTAGAATATAAACACGTTGACATTGCTGCTGTTGTTGTAATTCTCCCAGGGCTGCTGCATTCCCATCCTTCTGCTGCTCCTCTTGTTCTGAATCAAGCCATTTCTTTCAAAAGCAATTAAAAGCACCATAGCCTTCCCCAACCTCGCTTTGGCCAGCCATTGATTTGCCCACAAATATCACCAGCCACCTACTTTTCCGCAGGGCTGAGAGGCCGCAAGGGCACCTCACAGACCGAGCAGCCACATTAGGGAATGAACTCGCTTTAGGAAGCCCACCAGCCCCACTCCAGGCTTCACTTACCGAGGCAAAATGAGAGTAAATGGGATTCCCGCCGCTTTAGGCGTCAGCGCGCAGGTTTCCTTGGAAACGGAAAGACCTCACTCGGCCACCGTAGCGCGGCTGGTCAATACGAGGCCCATGACGTCACACCGCCAAAGCTTGGAGAGGGACTGCGTAGGCGGAGGAGCGCAACAACACGTTCGCTTCCTGCTGTCACGTGGTATAGCGGTCCTCCCCTCACGCCCCGCCCCCCGACGCTCTCAACCAATCAAAATGAAGAGGGGTCTTAATTTTGAGACTCAGCGCGGGAAAGCGTCAAAGCTGGGAGGTTAACATAAATACCTATCAACATGCACTGTCTGCATGAGGAACATTGAAGGAAGGCTTTTAATTACCATTCTAATATGCAGAGTTTATGATATGGAAGAGCATGGGGCATAGTATTTTAATAGTAACTCAGGGCCCTTCCACACAGTCATATTACCTAGAATATCAAGGCAGAAAATCCCACAATATCTGCTTTGAACTGGGTTATCTGAGTCCACACTGCCATATATTCCAGCTCAATGCAGAAAATGTGGGATTTTATTCAGCTGTGTGGAAGGGGGCTGAGACTGAGAAGGGTCCTAGAGCCAAACAGTGGATTTGAGGGCCACTGCATGCCTAAAATAAAGTGCATCTACACTGTAGAATTAATGCAGTTTGCAGCACGTTAATTGCCATGGCTCAGTGCTACGAAATCCTGGGGCTTATCTGTAGTTTGATAAGGCACCAGTTCTCTGGCACTGAAGACTAAAGACCTTGTTTAAACACAGTTCCCATGATTCTGTATTGAGCCTTGGCAATTCAAGGGCCCTTCCACACAGCCCTATATCCCAGAATATCAAGGTGGAAAATCCCACAATATCTGAGTGTGGACTAGGGGCCCTTCCACACAGTCCTATATCCCAGAATATCAAGGCAGAAAATCCCACAATATCTGCTTTGAACTGGGTTATCTGAGGACCCTTCCACACAGCCCTATATCCCAGAATATCAAGGCAGGAAATCACACATTAACAGTGTGGACTCAGATAACCCAGTTCAAAGCAGATATTGTGGGATTTTCCACCTTGACATTCTGGGATATAGGGCTGTGTGGAAGGGTCCCAAGTCCACACTCAGATAATGTGGGATTTCCCGCTTTAATATTCTGGGATATAAGGCTGTATGGAAGGGCCCAAAGTGGGGTCAAACTGCATTAATTTTACAGTGTACATGCACTCTATTTTAGGCATGCAGCTCAATACTGCAGTCAAACTGCAGTATTTCCAAAGTATAAATGCATCCATTAAAACAAAGGGCCCTTCAACAATATAACCCAGAATATCAAGGCAGAAAATCCCACACTGGGTTATCTGAACTGGGTTATCTGAGTCCACACTGCCATATATTGCCATAAAGCAGAAAATGTGGGATTTTATTCAGCTGTATGGAAGGGGCCTAAGAAAGTGGCTTCCGACTTCCTTTTTAGAGGTTAAAAATGGAAATCATACAATGATTATATCTCCTTTTATACCATGAACATCATACACTTCTTCACCAAATCCATTTTTTACTCAAACCTACAGCTGCCAAATCAAAAAGTCAATCAAATGTTTCCAGTCTTCCTCTACTTTCTTAAGTGCTTTATCTCTCATCAATATCAAAATCTGATAATCAGAAAAGGAATTTTATTCACAACAGAATCTGTTTGATAGAGAACAATCTAACAGTATTGTCGAAGGCTTTCATGGCTGGAATCACTAGGTTCTTGTGGGTTTTTTTCGGGCTATAGAGCCATGTTCTAGAGGCATTTCTCCTGACGTTTCGCCTGCATCTATGGCAAGCATCACCTCACTTCCTCTGAGGATGCTTGCCATAGATGCAGGCGAAACGTCAGGAGAAATGCCTCTAGAACATGGCTCTATAGCCCGAAAAAACCCACAAGAACCTAATCTAACAGTAGTCAGGCCTTTGGACTCTTTACACCTTCCCATTTTGGGCTCTTCCATACAGCCCTATATCCCAGAATATTAAGCCAGAAAATCCCACTATATCTGCTTTCAACTGGGTTACCTGGGCCCATAGTAAGATAATGTGGGATTTTCTGCCTTGATATTCTGGGATATAGGGCTGTGTGGAAGGGCCCCTTGGATCATATACATTGGAAGAAAAGTTCTGGAGAAGCAAATAATTGCCTGGTTTGTTGTGTGTGTGTGTGTGTGTGTGTGTGTAGCAATCCAATCAAGGTATTGTTCTGATTGTTGTTGTAAAAACCCTACACTGAAACTGGGTGTGAAGCAAATAACCTAGATTATAGTAATAGGTTTGGTTTTTTTTTTTCATCTTTTAGTTTGGATGTGCAGAGATGTTAAAGCAGCTTCTAGCTGCTTGTGCAGATAACCAAGGATGTATCTGCTCTGTTGCATTAATGTAGTTTAATACCCCTTTAACCACCATGGTTCAATTATATAGAATCCTGGGATTTGTATTTTGGTGAGTCGCCAGCACTTTTGGGAAGAGAAGATTAATGGCCTTGTAAAACTACAACTCCCAGAATTCCATAGCACTGTGCCATGGCAGTTAAAGTGGTGTCAAACTGCATCAATTCTACAACGTGGATGCACCCAAATAATACAATCTTACTTTTTTTTTTAACTTTTTATTCCATAGCAAGTGTATTTAGGAATGCAGCCAAGGGCTCTGATATACTTTGCATAGTTGCATAAGCTTTATTTGAAATGAAAATAGTGGGATCTGAGCATAAATTTTTGTTGTTCTTGAATGCTGAAATAAACCGAAATTCTACTGGCACCTTCATGGGGAAAAGGAGTCTAGATATCTTAGAAGGACTGTCAGGCTGAATGTGTTTCTTGGCATGGATCCTCAGTGTCGCTGCTCTGCATGGCTCCATCTGTCTCTGCTTTGTTCAGCGGAGACTGAGCTGGTGGTCCTCTGGCACATTTGTGGCTCGGTCGCCCGAAGCCTGAGGCTAGAGCTGAGCAGTGGGAGAAGGGAAACCAAAGTTTGGCTTTGTTTTTCATTCCACAGCAGGCTCCTCTTCGAAGTACAGAAACTGAACTGTCTTTCTTTTTGCTCATCCAGATGCCGTATTGAAGAGCATAGATCCAACAGAGCGACTAATTCAATTCATTGTACTTATCATTTTGGGTCTCTTTGTTTTCATTCTGTTGTGTTCTGGAGCTTAAAAGATGCACCCTGATTCTGGCTTTTTCTTACGTATCACATCTGCAGCACCCATCGGTATTATAAAGTATGTCAAATTCCTATTTGATTTCACCACAATGCTATCAGGCAGAGAACTTGTACCTTGCCAATGACTTCATGTTGATAAGGATTTGAGCTGAGTATGAATTCTGTTCCATTATTTGAGGAAATGATTTTGCTGAAGAGTAGACATGCCTAGTTCCTGTGCTTTATTAAAGACTGACATTTGGACTTGTGTTTTATCCTCAACTAGCTTAGGTATTCAGTGATGCCCAGGTTAGGTCTTTTGTAAGTGTAAACATTAGAAGTAGTCAGTTTGGTTTTGGATTTTATGAATGATCCCATTAGAAAATACATAAAGATGTGGGTGGACTGGAACTCCCATCACCCTGGGCGAATCCCTTTCCCCAAACCCCACCAGTATTTAAAATTGGTCATGATGGATATGTGTGCGAAGTTTAGTCCAGATCCATCATTTCAGCGGTTCACATTGCTCTCTAGATGTGGGTGGACTACAACTCCCATCACTCTGGATCAATTTCCCCAAACCCTGACAGCATTTAAAGTTGACTATGATGGGTCTGTATGCCAGGTTTGGTCCATTTCCGTCATCGGTGGGAGTCACGGGGCCCTCTGGAAGTGGGAGCCATTTTGGAAGTCACCACAAACACAAATTACATACATACAAACATATTTTATAGATATAGATTAAGGCTTTCTATGGCCTTTAGAGTTTATGATTACCCTACTTTTGTATATGTCTAGAAACTTTAGTTTTTTAAAAGGCAGGTCCAAAAATCTGGATTGATTTAGTTGGTTTATTTAAGTATTATAAAGGTAAAGGTAAAGGTTTTGCCTTAACAGTAAGTCTAGCCGTGTCCAACTCTGGGGGGTGGTGCTCATCTCCCTTTCTAAGCTGAAGAGGCAGTGTTGTTCATAGACACCTCCTAGGTTATGTGGCCAGCATGACTGCATTGAGTGCCATTACCTTCTCACCGAAGGTATTGATCTACTTACATTTGCATGTTTTCGAACTGCTAGGTTGGCAGAAGCTGGGGCTAACAGCAGGAGCTCACCCTGCTCCCCGGATTTGAACCACCAACCTTTTGGTCAGCAAGTTCAGCAGCTCAGCGGTTTAACCCACTGCGCCACCAGGCATTAAGTATTATACCTTACTCTTATCCAAAAATGAACCATCCCTTTCTCTGACTAGTGTGGCAAAAGACAAAAGCTTAGTCGATTCCATGAGAACCTAAAAGAAGCATCACACCTCTCTCTTCTCTCCACCATAATGCTGGTTTTGGTCTTTTTAAAATAGCTAAATGGGAAAATGGCAGCAGCAGCCAGATGTGTCTGGCCCCTTGAGGTGGCCTTGGTGTTTTCCCCTTGATGTTTATTAAGATCTGCAAGCGTGCTTGTGAGAGGCATTAATGCCACCGAGTGAATGGTGGCTTAATTTTATATAAAACCCCAGAGAAATTGCTTTTAAAAATCCCAGATCCACCCAATAAATGTGCTGCTCATGTGTATTTTCAACCAGATTTGTTAAACAAGATGTTTTATGTTAGCATATTAAAAGTAAAACAATATGATGTAATTTTAAAAATATCTTTGCTTCTTCTTTTGTGTTTTATTTCCATAACTGTAATACGTTCACATGGCAATCAGGGTTTAAAACAGAGAGAGAGATGTTGGGGGGGGGGGGGGGGGGGACACTGAGCCTAGCTGAGGCATCTGATCAGATTATTTCAGAACTGAACTTGCAAATATGTGAAACAAGATATTATGATAATAAATCTTGAGATATTTTCAAAGCCTTGTGGTTCTTTTTTTAAAAAACTGGAAGTTTCATATTGGATGAAAAGCAAATAAACAGAAGTGAATGAAGAATTTTCCTTAAACTGTGTTCATTGTCCATTACCAGTGTCCTTGCTTCCTTATATGACTGTGCAATAAAAATAAC